TAAAAAGGAAGAGGTTGAATCCTTGTGATATATTATATCTGACAAGTAAATAATAAGAACTTTTTTAATTAAGGGATGATAATGTTGATGATTCCTTACAATAAACAAGTAATTGGCTAAGCCCATCGAAAGGTGACGGTTAGCTAGCCCTTATTCCTTGCACTTGCACATACACACGTACACTAATTCATAGCAAATCTCTGCGTAATTCCATTTCCTCCACACTTGCCGCAGTTCGCTGTGTCTGTGTTTCTGTCCACGCATTTCTTGTTGCAGCAATCCGGCCCTGCGCTGCCCGACGCCTGACAAACCTTAGGGTTTTTGTAGCAAGTCATGGCAGGCGGCCGGGAGGCAAGGAAGCGGAGAGGTTTTTCTGCATCGTGTACCCAACATAGAAAAAACAACGTTCGACCAGCTTCCTTTCGTTTACCTTGACTAATTGAGTTTTCTTTTGGAAAGAAACTTCAACATCCAACCTTTGAACCTCTCCTTTAGGCTTTTATATATTTTAGCATGGGAAAAGTGTAGTCGTCTTCTCCTCGGCTAAAATTTGATATCAATCACCAAAACACTTTCCATGCACTTTCACTGTTGTCATCGATCATATTCATACATTTATATTGTTATTATTAACTCATATCATATATATGGGTGGGATGAGTGGACTAATTTAGAATCCAACAGGTCGTGCACAATTTCTCTTTAATTTCGCATGGGTAGGTTTGTGAAACTGGAGGGACTCTCAACACATAGAAAGAAGAGAAATAATAGATTTAAACATACGGCGCCCAAAGAAAGAAATGAAAGAGAAGTGGTTGTGGTATAACTTGGTAGGTAGGCACATATATAACGTATATTGGCAGCTTGGCTACCTAGCAGGTTTTAAACATGTTGTATTATAATTTTGCATTCAAGAATATAAATCTCATATCGGAAACTTAACTAAATAAAATAAAATATATAATAAATGATTCACTATTAATATTACCAAAGTCTTTTGTGATAAAACCTCACACCTATTAAGTTAAAGACAACATCGGTATTGTTAATAGTGGATCACTGACCCATCTCTCTATATTTAACATTTTGAACATCCATGTACATCTAGTGAGAAACAAGTCCAACAAAACATGTGGAATATAATTGCGAAATTAAGTTTAATAATAATAATAATTAGAACCAAAATGCAAAAAGATCAAGACAAGGAACACAATTAGGAGGATATATAGAGAGAATTAAATAGAATGGTTGATAATTAATGAGAAGAGAAGATGGTGCACACGATTTAAATACATAATGACCCAAAAACAACATACAATCAAATACATAAATGACTGAAGTAATAAATATAGATGGATCTATATTATATATAATATTTCTATGCATAGTCGCACATTCCATTGTCACAAGAAGTGCCTTCCTTGCAGTGGTTGGAGCACTTGCCACAGTTTTGATTGTGAGACATTGGATTCACACAATGAGCGTTGCAGCATATCTCTGAGCTAATGCATCTCTTCCCACAAGAACCACAGTTGGATATGTCTGTCCTCAAATCCACACATTTTTTGCTGCAGCAATATGGGCCTGCACTGCCTTCAGTGGCTCTACAAGCAAGAGGGTTTTGGCCGCATCCACCCCGACCCGGAGACGACTGAGAGGCAAGGAACCAGCTTGTTGACGACCCCGGCCTGAAAAATGCTTCTCTTTGGTTTGGTACCGTTGCAGAGAGAGTAATGGCTGAAGGCATAATAAGCATGGCTATCATAAAGAGAACTTGGAGAGATTTCATCATCATGTAATATATACAGCTAGGCTAGCTAGTATATACTTTGTGTGTATGAAGAAAAGAGATCAAAGTATATATGACTGCTTAACTTGGATGAAGAAGCATGCAGGTTAGAAAGAGCTATAAATAGAGAGACGGAGAAGAATCAATATTGAAGCCCTAGGGTTGATAATTGATAGAGGAATATTATTGCATGTGTTTTTTTCTATGAATAATAATATTGCATGGCCTAATTCATTCCAAGGGGCACAAAACGTTAACTCAGCAGCAAACAAAGTTGGGCTTCCGAAGAATATATATATTAATTATACTCGAATTAGGTGAATATGAACAAGAGACATGCATAAAACAACTTAGAGAGAATGATTATTATTGATGAAGAAACATGCAGGTTAGGCAAGCTGCTTATTTGCTTGGGCTCATGCATAATAATAATATGCTGCTAATTAACACAAAGTCATCACTCTCTGGAAATCGCGTTGCTATCATTAGTGAAAATAAATATATAATTACAGATCACAACAATCCCATATTCTTATTTATTTTTATTTTTTTCCAGGATCCCATATTCTTATTTCAAGGGTCCAAGAAACCAAACTAACCATGATGGCATGGTGCATGCGCTGATTAATTAACAGGGATGCCTCATTTCTTTAGTTTAAAGATTTGGCATATGCTGTTTTAGCAAGTATAATTAAATCATTTTTTATTTTTTATTCAGCCTCCCCCATTTCTTCGCAAATCAAAAGTTGTCCCACTTGTCCCATTGTTGGGTTTTATCCGGGACGCCAATAACGAACCCATAATGCCTTTTTCTTACAAATAAATTCATTTTTATGTGTTACCCAAAAAAGAAAAAAAGGAAAAAGAAATCCTCTTTATGTAGATTTACGGTAGTAGACTAATTTTTGTGTGTGGGTAAAATCCACACATTGAATCAACCGCAACGATTGACAAATGATCATACTAAATCAGTTAATTTGGTATACCATACCAGAAAAGAGGTAATTTTGTTCGTATTGTAAACCACAAAAAGGGTCCCGACTTCTTGAATGAGTTTTTACAGTTCAACTTGTATGTAATAGTACAAATACGAGGTCATTTGGCATTGGCATCAGTGGTAAATATTTCGCTCTTGGAAAATAGAATCTAGCTTTTTCAGTTTGTTTCCATGTTTTGGTTAGAGATTTTTATCTTAAGTTTTGCATATCAATATATTAGATATCTCTTGGCCCCTCTATTCATTATCATTTAGTTTTAAGTTATATGATTGAATGTTAAAACAAGTTATTTATACGTATTCCACACACATGGGTGCGACGTGTACAGAGTATTTGGTTCACATCGGGAAATATTGTCCATCAAATTATGAGGATCATCAATACCTAGCCCTTCTTTGTAAAAATTTCAAGCCATAGTCTTAACCCATTTCAAGTATAGATAATTTTTCATTGATAATTATTGAGGATCATCAATACCTAGCCCTCCACAGTTTGTCCTGTCAGACAGCGGGTTCACAAGATGACCTTTGCAACCCATTTCAAGAGAGAGAGAGAGAGAGAGAGAGAGAGAGAGTCTTTGGCAGCTGGCAACGGTCAGTTGAATCAACACAATATACTAATTAAGATAGATCAAATATAGTTAATTAGTGACCAATATAGCGTTGATTCAACTGTTAATTAATACTACATGTGGAAAGTCTCCAAAAATGATGTGTTAATTACTACCAAAAATTATGTAAGTAGGGTTTGATCACAAGAATTAGGTTATAATACTACTACTAGGTTAATCTGTTCAAGATCAATTAAAACTTTCAAAAGTAGAATATTATATGCACTTGCACTACTACTACTAGGTGCAATTTTTCCTTTTGTAGGGCATGATCGGTATTTAGTTGCTACCTTAACTTATCTATTAAAGAAATTATTATCCTTCATAATATTAAACATTTCTCATTATCGTTATCGTTTAGTAGTATAATTTACCATTCTTTAACCGACAGTGAATTACTAAAGTGGGGGTAGAGGTTCTCTAATGAAGCTGGGTAACAGACTCAAGGACTGGAGAATCCGAATACAAACAGTGATTTCTAACAGTTGGGGTCCCACAACGCGGACTTTTCCTGTACAAGCCAAAAGCAAAACAGATATCGGCTGATTTTTTATAAAAATTTTAGTGCAAAACGTATATTGGCAGGGGCGTAGGGAGCTACCTAAGGCCAGGGGGCCCCATGCCCCTTCTCACTTTTCTTCGGAGAGACTATAATAAGGAGTTTAAAGTGAGGAGGCTATTTAAGGAGGTTAATTTCACTATCAACAAATATAAAGAAATTATGAGATTTAATATTTTAAATGTTTTGATGGTGGGATCGGTCCCCTCAAATAGTCTCCTCACTTTAAACTCCTCATTGTAACCTCTCCCCACTTTTCTTAGCCTAATTATATAAAATTTCAAAGTTCCCTTTTTTCTTTTCTTTTTTTCTTCTCTCTCTTTTTCACATTATTACTACTCCTCCTAAATCTCTTTTATTGTCTTCTTTTGACTCTAAATGTTGTAGTAATAAACTACAGTCAAATTTTTTTAGTATGTATATTTAACAAAATACATTTAATTTGAATCATTATCTGTTGCTTGTATTAATGATGAATAGATAGGTTATGTGATATATAAAATAATAGAGTATAGTAATTAAATTTAGGGTTTTTGTATCAAGTAAAAAATTAATTCAAACGTCGCACCGTTTAAAAAAAGATTTCAATATTTGATATGCCCCATTTGTACAAAGTGTCCAGCTCATCCATAGTATTGGCTGGAAAGTCTCCAAAAATGATTCAACTCAATTTTCAGGTTAATTAAGCAACGGTGGGTTAATACGTTCAAGATCAATTAAAGCTTTCATAAGTAAAATATTAGAATTTGGGAATTGATTAGTTGATACTGGGAAAAGAACAGAGGGTAAAAATCAATTAATGGCAAAGGATCATATGTATATATACATACGAATACGACATGTTAAAATGGGCAAAGAATCATATGTTAGAATTTTGTTAATCTGTTAATTACCTGTCGTTTTGTTCTGTCCATTAATCCAAACGACATGTTAAAATGGGCTAAATAATAACGCTAGATTTCTGAGTGAATCTTCACCGTTGGTTGGAACTTGAAAGCAACGGTTAAGATGTGCACAACCTCTGTTCTTGCATGGGTACGAAAAATGTCGACTTTGTTTGGGCAGAAAGAAATGACATTGGTATACTCAATGTCCCTTAACCCTCCTCTTGATTCTTGATTCTTTTGGTTTCACTTTACTTCCGTCACTGATTTTGTTTATTTGTTTCTTGGTAAGTATTTTGAGCATGCTACAGGACAGTTTGAGGGGTTGAACTTAGACCACCGTACTGGGTTGGAGGGTGAATCACAACAAGATGAAAGTCAACATGTAAGCGGGGTTTTGCTGGGTAGGCCTGAAGAAGAGGATGATGTGAAATCACTGTTCTTGCATGGAAAAATGGTACCAAAGATGTCAACTTTCGTTTTGCACAAATATATTGTTGTTGATTTTTGAATATTTTAGGTTTCACTTGCTTTGTCACTGATTTCCCTTTTCATGCACTCATGTTTCAGTACCTTCTTTTGGTGTGTTCTTAAGGAAATGGATTTGTCCCATGCTAAATTGTAAAGTTCTTAGATGCATGATTTCTTTCTATGTTTGCCTGCAACACTCATATTTCTTTTTTATTTTGAAATGATTTTGGATGTTTTGGTCGACAATCAACCTCTATAGTAGTTTGGCTTTTACGGGGTATCTGGTTTCTTTTTACTCTGATATCTTTTCATTGCAATGGTACCAAAGATGTCAACTTTCGTTTTACAGAAATATATTGTTGTTGATTCTTAAATATTTTTGTTTCACTTACTTTGTCACTGATTTTGTTTATTTCTTTTCTGGTAAGTATTTTGAGCATGCTACATGACAGTTTGGGGGGTTGTACACCACCGTACTAGGTTGGCGCATGAAGAAGAAGATAATGTGAAATCATTGTTCTTGCATGGAAAAATGATACGAAAGATGTCAACTTTCATTTTGAAGAAAGAAATGAAATTGGAGAACTCAATGTCCCTCAACCCTCCTCTTGATTCTTTATTCTTTTGGTTTCACTTTACTTCATCATTGATTTTGTTTATCTAATTCTTGGTAAGTATTTTGAGCATGCTACAAGACAGTTTGATGGGTTTAACTTAGACCACCGTACTGGGTTGGAGGGTGAATCACAGCAAGATGAAAGTCAACATGTAAGCGGGGTTTTGCTAGGTAGGCCAGAAGAAGAGGATGATGTGAAGTCACTGTTCTTGCATGGAAAAATGGTACCAAAGATGTCAACTTTCGTTTTGCACAAATATATTGTTGTTGATTCTTGAATATTTTAGGTTTCACTTGCTTTGTCACTGATTTCCCTTTTCATGCACTCATGTTTCAATACCTTCTTTTGTTGTGTTCTTAAGGAAATGGATTTGTCCCATGCTGAATTGTAAAGTTCTTAGATGCATGGTTTCTTTCTTTGGTTGCATGCAACACTCATATTTCTTTTTTATTATGAAATGATTTTGCATGTTTTGGTCGACAATCAACCTCTATATTAGTTTGGCTTTTACTGGGTATCTGGTTTTTTTTTACTCTGATATCTTTTCATTGCAACGGTACTAAAGATGTCAACTTTCATTTTGCATAAATATATTGTTGTTGATTCTTGAATATTTTTGTTTCACTTGCTTTGTCATTGATTTTGTTTCTTTGTTTTATGGTAAGTATTTTGAGCATGTTACAGGACAGTTTGGGGGGTTGTACTTCAACCACCGTACTGGGTTGGCGCCTGAAGAAGAAGATAATGTGAAATCACTGTTCTTGCATGGAAAAATGATACGAAAGATGTCAACTTTCATTTTGCAGAAAGAAATGAAATTCGAGAACTCAATGTCCCTCAATCCTCCTCTTGATTCTTTATTCTTTTGGTTTCACTTTACTTCATCATTGATTTTGTTTATCTAATTCTTGGTAACTATTTTGAGCATGCTACAAGACAGTTTGATGGGTTTAACTTAGACCACCATACTGGGTTGGAGGGTGAATCACAGCAAGATGAAAGTCAACATGTAAGCGGGGTTTTGCTAGGTAGGAATGAAGAAGAGGATGATGTGAAGTCACTGTTCTTGCATGGAAAAATGGTACCAAAGATGTCAACTTTCGTTTTGCACAAATATATTGTTGTTGATTCTTGAATATTTAAGGTTTCACTTGCTTTGTCACTGATTTCCTTTTTCATGCACTCATGTTTCAATACCTTCTTTTGGTGTGTTCTTAAGGAAATGGATTTGTCCCATGCTGAATTGTAAAGTTCTTAGATGCATGGTTTCTTTCTTTGGTTGCATGCAACACTCATATTTCTTTTTTATTATGAAATTACTTTGGATGTTTTGGTCGACAATCAACCTCTATAGTAGTTTCGCTTTTACTAGGTATCTGGTTTCTTTTCACTCTGATATCTTTTCATTGCAATGGTACTAAAGATGTCAACTTTCATTTTACAGAAATATATTGTTGTTGGTTCATGAATATTTTTGTTTCACTTGCTTTGTCACTGATTTTGTTTCTTTGTTTTATGGTAAGTATTTTGAGCATGCTATAGGACAGTTTGGGGGGTTGTACTTAAACCACCGTACTGGGTTGGCACCTGAAGAAGAAGATAATGTGAAATCACTGTTCTTGCATGGAAAATTGATACGAAATATGACAACTTTCATTTTGCAGAAAGAAATGAAGTTGGTAAACTCAATGTCCCTCAACCCACCTCTTTATTCTTGATTCTTTTGGTTTCACTTTACTTCATCACTGATTTTGTTTATCTGTTTCTTTGTAAGTGTTTTTAGCACGCTGCAGGACAGTTTGGGGGGTTCAACTTAGACCACCGTACTGGGTTAGAGGGTGAATCACAGCAAGATGAAAGTCAACATGTCAGCGGGGTTTTGCTTTGTACGCCTAAAGAAGAGGATGATGTGAAATCACTGTTCTTGCATGGAAAAAAGGTACCAAAGATGTCAACTTTCGTTTTGCACAAATATATTTTTGTTGATTCTTGAATATTTTAGGTTTCACTTGCTTTGTCACTGATTTCCCTTTTCATGCACTCATGTTTTAATACCTTCTTTTGGTGTGTTCTTAAGGAAATGGATTTGTTCCATGCTGAATTGTAAAGTTCTTAGATGCATGGTTTCTTTCTTTGGTTGCATGCAACATTCATATTTCTTTTTTATTATGAAATGATTTTAGATGTTTTGGTCGACAATCAACCTCTATAGTAGTTTGGCTTTTACTGGGTATCTGGTTTCTTTTTACTCTGATATCTTTTCATTGCAATGGTACTAAAGATGTCAACTTTCATTTTGCAGAAATATATTGTTGTTGATTCTTGAATATTTTTGTTTCACTTGCTTTGTCATTGATTTTGTTTTTTTGTTTTATAGTAAGTAGTTTGAGCATGCTACATGACAGTTTGGGGGGTTGTACTTAAACCACCGTACTGGGTTGGCGCCTGAAGAAGAAGATGATGTGAAATCACTGTTCTTGCATGGAAAAATGATACGAAAGATGTCAACTTTCATTTTGCAGAAAGAAATGAAATTGGTAAACTCATGTCCCTAAATCCTCCTCTTGATTCCTGAACTGTTTGTTTCACTTTGCTTTGTCACTGATGTTTGTTTTTTTTGTTTTTTCGTAAGTATTTTGAGCCTGCTACAGGACAGTTTGTGGGGTTGTACTTAGACCATCGTACTGGGTTGGAGGGTGAATCAGGGCAAGATGAAAGTACAAATGTAAGCGGGGTTCCTGAGGACATGGATTTGAGTGACAATGGAGATGGAGGAGAGGTTAATACTATGGATGAAGGAGGTGATGATACTGAGGATGAAGGCTCAAGTGGTGATGAATTTGGTTTCAATGGTGGAGGTGATGGAGGTGACTCCTCCTCCGACGGTGGTCCTATGTGACTACCGATCATGCTGGTAGTAACATCGCCTCCAAGAAAGGATCGGATAGGATTTGTCCGTAATTACTTTGACTGTGGCAGTGTACATGCCCTAGAACTGATGGTGAAGGGTGTCCTCAGAAGAGAGTTGAACAGAGATAACTACCGCATTAGCTACTTTACACACGGGCCAACTGACGATGGAATAGAAGTAGACATAAGTGGAATGACGTGGGGTGAGGTCATAGAGTCGGAGTTGCAAGGTGCTTTTGCCCACGACGATCTAGACCCCGGACATGATGATGCAGGAGCTTCTTGTAGCAGGCCCAAGAGGAAGCGCCAACAGCCAACTTATCTCAAGGATTATTACACCAACTAGTTTCTTAGTTACTGTTTTGGAGCAAAGGATGCTTTATAATACGGTGATTGAATGCTTTATCATACAATGATGCATTTTGGAGCAAAGGATGCTTTATACTATGGTGATTGATGAGTTGTAATACAATGATGCTTTTTAATTACTATATTAATCAAAATTGTCCTTCTGATCACTTCTAAGGTTATGGTATTCTTTCCGTTCAATAATTCTATGCACAACTAAAGTGCCTTGTAATTTTGCAGCTCTTGTAGTTGTTGTAGCCTGTGATTATTTTTTCTCCAAGATTAATCTTCACCATGTTCTGCCATGGGTAAGCATTGATGTTGGCACCAAAGTCATTACAAACCATGACTGAACTTGGTAACGGCCAAAGGCAAAGGGTGTAAACCAGAGACCTTGAATTAGTTGGTATGCTTTAACTTGTTGGCTTTGTGATACAACTAAAGGTTAGCATATGTTACCAATTTGATCATCTTTGCCTATCTGTAAAGTTAATATTACCAATTTGTTTTTTCTTTCTTCGTGGCTGTATACCAATTTGGTCAGTTTGATTGGAAAAGGAAAGGCAGAGTCGGGTTTGAAATCTTAATTTATTGTTGGTTGATTTACTAAATAGCTTGTATGAAGAGATGGCTCGGCTTAGATTTTGTGATTAGTTAATACCATGGCAATGGTTTTGGTTTTGGTTGGATTGAAAGTAAACGCAAACATGAGAGGATCTTTAGGAAAATCTATATATAATTGAACAAGAGACAATATATGAGAAGAAGGGATCTTTAATTAGATTCACAGTATTATTGGCTATGATGGAGAAAAAAGGACATACAATATATGTGGAATGCTCTGTTGTTCCAAAATAGTGTGCACAAAGTTTATGCGCAGTTGAGAATTACAATCAAGTGTGAAATCTGCATAAGTACCGATCTTCATTATATTTCGACGAATAATGGAACATCCATACCAACAAATTAAGATGCACAAACTCATGTGGAGGAGAAAAGAAGCACCCCCATTATCCAACGATCAAACTAAGGCATTGGCACCATAAACAATCTCCAATATCTCCCCTGACTGAACTTGGTAAGCATTGATGTCGGCACCAAAGTCATTACAAACCATGACTGAACTTGGCAACGGCCAAAGGCAAAAGGTGTAAACCAAAGACCTTGAATTTGTTGGTATGCTTTAACTTGTTGGCTTTGTGATACAACTAAATGTTAGCATATGTTACCAATGTGAAATCACTGTTCTTGCATGGAAAAATGATATGAAAGATGTCAACTTTCATTTTGCAGAAAGAAATGAAATTGGAGAACTCAATGTCCCTCAACCCTCCTCTTGATTCTTTATTCTTTTGGTTTCACTTTACTTCATCATTGATTTTGTTTATCTAATTCTTGGTAAGTATTTTGAGCATGCTACAAGAAAGTTTGATGGGTTGAACTTAGACCACCGTACTGGGTTAGAGGGTGAATCACAGCAAGATGAAAGTCAACATGTCAGCAGGGTTTTGCTGTGTACGCCTGAAGAAGAGGATGATGTGAAATCACTGTTCTTGCATGGAAAAATGGTACCAAAGATGTCAACTTTCGTTTTGCACAAATATATTTTTGTTGATTCTTGAATATTTTAGGTTTCACTTGCTTTGTCACTGATTTCCCTTTTCATGCACTCATGTTTCAATACCTTCTTTTGGTGTGTTCTTAAGGAAATGGATTTGTCCCATGCTGAATTGTAAAGTTCTTAGATGCATGGTTTCTTTCTTTGGTTGCATGCAACACTCATATTTCTTTTTTATTATGAAATGATTTTGGATGTTGTGGTCGACAATCAACCTCTATAGTAGTTTGGCTTTTACTGGGTATTTGGTTTCTTTTTACTCTGATATCTTTTCATTGCAATGGTACTAAAGATGTCAACTTTCATTTTGCAGAAATATATTGTTGTTGATTCTTGAATATTTTTGTTTCACTTGCTTTGTCACTGATTTTGTTTATTTGTTTTCTTGTAAGTATTTTGAGCGTGCTATAGGACAGGTTGGGGGGTTGTACTTAGACCACCGTACTGGATTGGCGCCTAAAGAAGAAGATAATGTGAAATCACTGTTCTTGCATGGAAAAATGATACGAAAGATGTCAACTTTCATTTTACAGAAAGAAATGAAATTGGAGAACTCAATGTCCCTCAACCCTCCTCTTGATTCTTGATTCTTTTGGTTTCACTTTACTTCATCATTGATTTTGTTTATCTAATTCTTGGTAAGTATTTTGAGCATGCTACAAGACAGTTTGATGGGTTGAATTTAGACCACCGTACTGGGTTGGAGGGTGAATCACAGCAAGATGAAAGTCAACATGTAAGCGGGGTTTTGCTGGGTAGGCCTAAAGAAGAGGATGATGTGAAATCACTGTTCTTGCATGGAAAAATGGTACCAAAGATGTCAACTTTCGTTTTGCACAAATATATTGTTGTTGATTCTTGAATATTTTAGGTTTCACTTGCTGTGTCATTGATTTTCCTTTTCATGCACTCATGTTTCAATACCTTCTTTTGGTGTGTTCTTAAGGAAATGGATTTGTCCCATGCTGAATTGTAAAGTTCTTGGATGCATGGTTTCTTTCTATGTTTGCATGCAACACTCACATTTCTTTTTTATTATGAAATGATTTTGGATGTTTTGGTCAACAATCAACCTATATAGTAGTTTGGCTTTTACTGGGTATCTGGTTTCTTTTTACTATGATATCTTTTCATTGCAATGGTACTAAAGATGTCAACTTTCATTTTGCAGAAATATATTGTTGTTGATTCTTGAATATTTTTGTTTCACTTGCTTTGTCACTGATTTTGTTTCTTTGTTTTATGGTAAGTATTTTGAGCATGTTGCAGGACAGTTTGGGGGGTTGTACTTAGACCACCGTACTGGGTTGGCGCCTGAAGAAGGAGATAATGTGAAATCACTGTTCTTGCATGGTAAAATGATACGAAAAATGTCAACTTTCATTTTGCAGAAAGAAATGAAGTTGGTAAACTCAATGTCCGTCAACCCTCCTCTTGATTCTTGATTCTTTTGGTTTCACTTTACTTCATCACTGATTTTTTTTATATGTTTCTTGGTAATATTTTTTGCATGCTGCAGGACAGTTTGGGGGGTTGAACTTAGACCACCGTACTGGGTTGGAGGGTGAATCACAGCAAGATGAAAGTCAACATGTAAGCGGGGTTTTGCTGGGTAGGCCCGAAGAAGAGGATGATGTGAAATCACTGTTCTTGCATGGAAAAATGGTACCAAAGATGTCAACTTTCGTTTTGCACAAATATATTGTTGTTGATTTTTGAATATTTTTGGTGTCACTTGCTTTGTCACTGATTTCCCTTTTCATGCACTCATGTTTCAATACCTTCTTTTGGTGTGTTCTTAATGAAATGGATTAGTCCCATGCTGTATTGTAAAGTTCTTAGATGCATGGTTTCTTTTTATGTTTGCCTGCAGCACTCATATTTCTTGTTTGTTCTGAAATGATTTTGGATGTTTTGGTCTACAATCAACCTCTATAGTAGTTTGGCTTTTACTGGGTATCTGGTTTCTTTTTACTCTGATATCTTTTCATTGCAATGGTACTAAAGATGTCAACTTTCGTTTTGCAGAAATATATTGCTGGATTCTTGATTATTTTTGTTTCACTTGCTTTGTCACTGATTTTGTGTATTTGTTTTCTGGTAAGTATTTTGAGCATGCTACAGGACAGTTGTTGGGGTTGTACTTAGACCACCGTACTGGTTGGCACCTGAAGTAGATGATAATGTGAAATCACTGTTCTTGCATGGAAAATGTTACAAAAGATGTCAACTTTCGTTTTGCAAAAAGAAATGAAATTGGTAAAGTCATGTCCCTCGATCCTCAACTTGATTCCTGAATTGGTTGTTTAACTTTGCTTTGTCACTGATTTTGTTTGTTTTTTGGTAAGTATTTTGATAGATCAACTATTTGTGTAAATATAAGTGCTGATGAAAAATGTGACTCTACTTCACATAATGTGGATAGGAATGTATTAGAAAAACTAAAAAGTAACCTGTTTGATTCTGAGGAGGGAAGAAAATTGATCGCTGCCCAGAAGAATATCAATCTTCTTTTGAAGCCTGGGATATAAAAACTATGTGGAGTCCTTGAACTCTCTATATGAATTTGATTTACCTGCTAACAATATTTTATTTTCAGTTTTGTTCTTATGTGCTGACTTAACTCAATATTCCATGAGTACATCTTAGTAAAAGACAGTTCACTATTTTAATGATATCTTGATTGATGTTACTATTATGCAGGATCTTGTCAAGGCTATGGTCGAAAAGCTTCTTGAATACGTTATGAATAATCACCATTTTAATACAGAACCAGCAACAACTTTGCAGGCATTACAGATAGCTCTGGTTAGAATTGATTTCCCTTTTCATGCACTCATGTTTCAGTACATTCTTTTGGTGTGTTCTTAAGGAAATGGATTTGTCCCATGCTGAATTGTAAAGTTCTTAGATGCATGGTTTCTTTTTATTTTTGCCTGCAACACTCATATTTCTTTTTTACTCTGAAATGATTTTGGATGTTTTGGTCGACAATCAACCTCTATAGTAGTTTGGCTTTTACTGGGTATCTGGTTTCTTTTTACTCTGATATCTTTTCATTGCAATGGTACTAAAGATGTCAACTTTCATTTTGCAGAAATATATTGTTGTTGATTCTTGAATATTTTTGGTTTCACTTGCTTTGTCACTGATTTTGTTTATTTGTTTTCTGGTAAGTATTTTGAGCATGCTACATGACAGTTTGGGGGGTTGTACTTAGACCACCGTATTGGGTTGGCGCCTGAAGAAGAAGATAATGTGAAATCACTGTTCTTGCATGGAAAAATGGTACAAAAGATGTCAACTTTCGTTTTGCAAAAAGAAATGAAATTGGTAAAGTCATGTCCCTCAATCCTCATATTGATTCGTGAATTGTTTGTTTAACTTTGCTTTGTCAATGATTTTGTTTGTTTTTTGGTAAGTATTTTGATAGATCAACTATTTGTGTAAATATAAATGCTGATGAAAAATGTGACTCTACTTCACATAATGTGGATAGGAATGTATTAGAAAAACCAAAAAGTAACCTGTTTGATTCTGAGGAGAGAAGAAAATTGATCGATGCCCAGAAGAATATCAATCTTCTTTTGAAGCCTGGGATATAAAAACTATGTGGAGTCCTTGAACTCTCTGTATGAATTTGATTTACCTGCTAACAATATTTTATTTGCAATTTTGTTCTTATGTGTTGACTTAACTCAATATTCCATGAATACATCTTAGTAAAAGACAATTCACTATTTTAATGATATCTTGTTTGATGTTACTATTATGCAGGATCTTGTCAAGGCTATGGTCTAAAAGCTTCTTGAATACGTAATGAATAATCACCATTTAAATACAGAACCAGCAACAACATTGCAGGCATTACATATAGCTCTGGTTAGAATTGATTTCCCTTTTCATGCACTCATGTTTTAATACCTTCTTTTGGTGTGTTCTTAAGGAAATGGATTTGTCCCATGCTGAATTGTAAAGTTCTTAGATGCATGGTTTCTTTCTTTGGTTGCATGCAACATTCATATTTCTTTTTTATTATGAAATGATTTTAGATGTTTTGGTCGACAATCAACCTCTATAGTAGTTTGGCTTTTACTGGGTATCTGGTTTCTTTTTACTCTGATATCTTTTCATTGCAATGGTACTAAAGATGTCAACTTTCATTTTGCAGAAATATATTGTTGTTGATTCTTGAATATTTTTGTTTCACTTGCTTTGTCATTGATTTTGTTTTTTTGTTTTATAGTAAGTAGTTTGAGCATGCTACATGACAGTTTGGGGGGTTGTACTTAAACCACCGTACTGGGTTGGCGCCTGAAGAAGAAGATGATGTGAAATCACTGTTCTTGCATGGAAAAATGATACGAAAGATGTCAACTTTCATTTTGCAGAAAGAAATGAAATTGGTAAACTCATGTCCCTAAATCCTCCTCTTGATTCCTGAACTGTTTGTTTCACTTTGCTTTGTCACTGATGTTTGTTTTTTTTGTTTTTTCGTAAGTATTTTGAGCCTGCTACAGGACAGTTTGTGGGGTTGTACTTAGACCATCGTACTGGGTTGGAGGGTGAATCAGGGCAAGATGAAAGTACAAATGTAAGCGGGGTTCCTGAGGACATGGATTTGAGTGACAATGGAGATGGAGGAGAGGATAATACTATGGATGAAGGAGGTGATGATACTGAGGATGAAGGCTCAAGTGGTGATGAATTTGGTTTCAATGGTGGAGGTGATGGAGGTGACTCCTCCTCCGACGGTGGTCCTATGTGACTACCGATCATGCTGGTAGTAACATCGCCTCCAAGAAAGGATCGGATAGGATTTGTCCGTAATTACTTTGACTGTGGCAGTGTACATGCCCTAGAACTGATGGTGAAGGGTGTCCTCAGAAGAGAGTTGAACAGAGATAACTACCGCATTAGCTACTTTACACACGGGCCAACTGACGATGGAATAGAAGTAGACATAAGTGGAATGACGTGGGGTGAGGTCATAGAGTCGGAGTTGCAAGGTGCTTTTGCCCACGACGATCTAGACCCCGGACATGATGATGCAGGAGCTTCTTGTAGCAGGCCCAAGAGGAAGCGCCAACAGCCAACTTATCTCAAGGATTATTACACCAACTAGTTTCTTAGTTACTGTTTTGGAGCAAAGGATGCTTTATAATACGGTGATTGAATGCTTTATCATACAATGATGCATTTTGGAGCAAAGGATGCTTTATACTATGGTGATTGATGAGTTGTAATACAATGATGCTTTTTAATTACTATATTAATCAAAATTGTCCTTCTGATCACTTCTAAGGTTATGGTATTCTTTCCGTTCAATAATTCTATGCACAACTAAAGTGCCTTGTAATTTTGCAGCTCTTGTAGTTGTTGTAGCCTGTGATTATTTTTTCTCCAAGATTAATCTTCACCATGTTCTGCCATGGGTAAGCATTGATGTTGGCACCAAAGTCATTACAAACCATGACTGAACTTGGTAACGGCCAAAGGCAAAGGGTGTAAACCAGAGACCTTGAATTAGTTGGTATGCTTTAACTTGTTGGCTTTGTGATACAACTAAAGGTTAGCATATGTTACCAATTTGATCATCTTTGCCTATCTGTAAAGTTAATATTACCAATTTGTTTTTTTCTTTCTTCGTGGCTGTATACCAATTTGGTCAGTTTGATTGGAAAAGGAAAGGCAGAGTCGGGTTTGAAATCTTAATTTATTGTTGGTTGATTTACTAAATAGCTTGTATGAAGAGATGGCTCGGCTTAGATTTTGTGATTAGTTAATACCATGGCAATGGTTTTGGTTTTGGTTGGATTGAAAGTAAACGCAAACATGAGAGGATCTTTAGGAAAATCTATATATAATTGAACAAGAGACAATATATGAGAAGAAGGGATCTTTAATTAGATTCACAGTATTATTGGCTATGATGGAGAAAAAAGGACATACAATATATGTGGAATGCTCTGTTGTTCCAAAATAGTGTGCACAAAGTTTATGCGCAGTTGAGAATTACAATCAAGTGTGAAATCTGCATAAGTACCGATCTTCATTATATTTCGACGAATAATGGAACATCCATACCAACAAATTAAGATGCACAAACTCATGTGGAGGAGAAAAGAAGCACCCCCATTATCCAGCGATCAAACTAAGGCATTGGCACCAGAAACAATCTCCAATATCTCCCCTGTGATTTTGGCCTGGCGCTGCCTGTTGTAGACCCTGGACAAGTTCTTCTTCAACTCCACTGCATTATCAGTTGCATTGCTCATAGCACTCATCCTAGCAGCAAGCTCACTGGCTAGTGACTCCTGCAATGCCCTCAAAATCTGACTGTTGAGGTACAAAGGCAGCAAAGCATCAAGAATCTGAACTGGATCCTGCTCGAATTGCAAAACCGGTGTGAAATCCACGGTTGTTGTCCTCACCACATCTCTCTCTACAGTCAACTTCCCTTCCTTTGTTGTCAACCTGAAGAACTCATCATCAGCAGCATCCACACACACACCATTAATATCACAAATCTCCCCTTTTGGTGAGAGTGGAAGCAAGGTATGAATCACAGGGTCAGACTTAACCAACGACACAAATTTGGTGTACAAAAGCTCAACTTTGTCAACTTCTTCACTCACAAAGAGGGAGAACACATCATCTGCGATGGCCTGTGCTTCTTTGGCAGTTGGGAGGTTGGTTCCCTCAAGAAACTTATCAACTGGAATGTAAGGCCGCCTTAGAAAATAAGAGTTACCCTTTTTGCCAACGCTGATGATCGTGTATTCGAGACCAAGAGCCTTCAATTCAGATATTCTTCTCTCAGCTTTCTTGATAATTGCATTGTTGAAACCTCCACAAAGACCACGATCGCCGGTTATGACAACAAGAGCAACTTTCTTGACAGGCCTAACATTGGTCAGGGGAGCATCTATGTCTTCCACTTGGAGCTGCTCATTGATGTTGTAAAGAACTTCCACAAGAGTTTCCGAGAAGGGTCTTCCATTAACGACAGCTTCTTGAGCTCTGCGGACTTTGGCAGCTGCCACAAGCTTCATAGCCTCAGTGATCTTCTGGGTGTTCTTTACAGAATCAATACGTTCTCGAAGCTCACGGAGACCGCAGTGAATCGGGGACACAGAAGACGATCTTGAGGGGCTGGCAGGGAGAGAGTTTTGTGAAGGAAGCTGAAAAGGGCTGATAAAAGATCGGCAGGAGAGCGAGGAGGTGTCAGAAAGGGCAGGTTTTGAAGACACCCACATTGTCAAATTTGAACAAGACATGGTTTTAATGGGGCTTCTGAAGCTCTGAAATGGAGGGAAGAGAAGCTGCTGAGGAGGAACAGAGAAGAGGGTCTGATATGTGAGTTTTGGTTTCTTTTAGGTTGTTTTTTGGGTTTGTCAAGTCTTATCTTCATGTGAGTACTTCTGGTGTATGGAGGCAAAGAGTGGGAATGAGTGGAGGGAGGAGGAGGAATTGGATGAGGTTTTGGGATAAGGATTTTGACCGTTGGTGATCGCCGGGGGCTGGCATTTGGTTCTCATTTTATCATTAATTCATGGGTAGGTCCTATCTTACGTGGCATGATCCGAGTGGGATAATACTTGGACGGTATATGCGGCTAAGCGGTGGAGATTCCCTCTGTGTAAAACTTCAGTTCAGTTAAGAAGGGGTCAACGTAAAATTTTCTTTTTTTTTTCTTTTTCTTTTTATCGAATAATTGAGAGCCGCAACCACAAGCTCACACAAGCAAGTTAGCAACGCATCATTGCCAAATTTGTCAATTTTAGAAAAATATCAATTTAACCCAGTGAAAGATGCGCATGTCAGTTGAATTGATGTAAAAAAGTTTCAACAGAAACACACCCAAGCGTTGAGTTGTGGGCACCACTGGCTTAAAGGGTTGAGGTTCAAGAAGTAAGATATTATTTATTTACTGCAACTAGAAAGGGGTTAGTATAAGCGCATAAACAAATTAGAAAGTTTTGTGTTAGCCATCACTGCTGGAGTTTGAGTTTTCTACAGTCAAACCTATGTTCAAACATGTATTGGTTCTGCACACACGCTTCCTGGGTTTCCTTATTGTGGGATTTGCTAGAGGACCCAGGCTCAGTTGGTGCGCCATGTCCACGCCTTGTCTCTGTGCCACAACTTCTCTTGTGCTGAGTTTCACATTCTTACAAGACCGAGTGGGACGAGATGACGATAGATCATTGGCAGCAAGACCACTGTCATTTGTGCTTTCGTCATGCTTGGACATCATGTGTGAAGGGCGATCAGGTGCACATGAATCCAAACTTAACCATGAAGAATTACTGGCATCATCCAAGGAAGGAGTACCGCGAATACTGTCCTGAGTATGACAGCCGGCTTTTGGCTCACACTGTTTGCCATCAGGATCTACTGTTGCAGGTCTTTTTGTTGCAAACGTTGGAACATCCTATAAACAAGAAAATAGAAATTCAGAAAAGGAACAAAATGATATAGATATAAACATTGAGAAAATATTAATAAAAAACTCCTCCCAAACAAGATTGGTGGCACCAACAACAAGAAGAGTGGGAGGTCGCAAGTAGAATTAGTCAGCTAATAACTTAGACCAGAAGATACAATACGTGCTTCCCACAGCCAATAGAACCTGAGAACTAACCAAATAAAAGAGAAAAGTCACCTTATTCTGCATCTCAGCAATTCCTTCACACGCCGATCCCACCTCTCCTTCAGAATCAGTCATCTCTTCACACTCAAACTCAACATTTTCTTCATTTTCTTCTTCTGAGTCACTCAACTCTTCCTGTTCCATCTCAATATCAGGTTGAGACTGCTCACCTGTATCATCTGCATTGTATCTGCTGAGATTATTACTTGGTATAACCAATGTAAGGCCACCTGAAACAGGCTCGCTACCACTTCCAGAAGAATTTTCAGCATGCCGATACAATGAACTATTAGCACATTGAGTTATCATAATAGTTCCAGAATCTGGAGCAGTTGTTCTTGATTTAACTGAATTATGCACAGCAACGTCTCTCCTTTTCAAAGTTTTTTCCTTGTCGGATGTAGAACTCAGGTGGATCTCCAAGTCCAGCTCATTAGCTTTCTCATTAGTGCCCAAAGCCTGTGGATCAGTATTGCTCGGCAATGGAGTCTGACTAGAATTAGAAAGGGGTGCAGTTGAGCAAGTCGTTACTGGGACACTACTTACATAATCAGTTCTTTGCATAAGTGGATGAAAATCAATGGCACGTGATGTTGAGTTGGATGTCTTCAATGATTTGTCAAAACAATCAACATGGCTTCCTTGATGAGGATTATGAAAAAGGCTTAAATTTAGCTGAGGCTGATTTGCTGAAAGAAAACTGAAAGTACTGGAATTTCTGTTGCTGCAGTTCAATGGGTAATAGGGTAGGCGTCCATCTTCAGGGGCCTGGAACAGCAAAGGATGCATCTGAAGGTCAGAATCAGTATCTCTTCCTTCCTCTACACATTTATCCTTGACAATCCTAGAATCTTCCAGACGCAAAGTTGTAACGCTGTCTTTTGGAGAATGAGTTTTATTCTGTCTAGATGTTATGGCATCAGAAATCCCCAACCTTCCAACTTGAGAAAATTTAGAAAACAGATTGTCTGTTGCAGAAGAACCACTACCACCTCCAGAAGCAGAAACCGTAGAAGATATCCCACATAAAGAGCCTCTGAAGGCAGATTGTGAGACTATACGAACAGATGGTGGAAGATTCACAGGAGGCAATTCTGGTGCTAACTTAACTAATTGTGCACCATTAGCTCTACGAGCTCGATACCGCCGATAATTGAATTGAGATTTGTAGGCATTTGAAGTCATATGAGAAACAGAGTGATTCGTTTGTGTGGTACCAGATGCAAAATGTCTAAAACCAGTGATTATAGATGGGCTCTGCTGATACTTTGACACAGTCTGGGTTCGAGGAGCTTCCTTATGCCCAAAAACATTTGCCCATTCACGGATAGCTTCTTGGGATAGGGTACCACTATGAAGATTTCTTTCTCCACTGGAAGTACCTGGTCTCCAATCTGCTAAAAAGGCCTCATGAACATAAGTTTCACCTGCATTGTCTGTGAAACCATCTGCGCTGTTCTCTCCACCAGACTTTTCAGCCAGGCAGTCCTGCAGTCATTACGACAGTTAAATATAATCATCATCCACTTAATGAGCTTTCAATCATCTACAACCCAAGCTCAGCTGAATTAGAGGTTTGAGGGAAAAGAAAAAGGGTCCAAATGAAATTCTGATACAATTCTGAAAAATGAGTAAAGTCAGAATGGGCGCACACTTCCTGCACATTCATGCTAAACTGGCTAACTTAAAGACTCTTTGATGCATTTGAATGTAACTATTAGAATCAAATGGTATAACAGGCCATGTAAGTGGGGATAGCCTTCTTTTAACTAAATTGTTTTCTTTCACAGGCTGAACCCAGGACCTCCTATTTCTTACATTTTTTAATTTATTTTTAATTCCTAAACTTCAGAAAATTCTACACAAGCTATACTCCTAAGCCTCAATATATTCATCAACATTTATGAAGCATATAATATAATTAGCTAAAATTAAATCTAGCAAGGCAGCTAATTTAAAGCCTACCCATAACTTTTCTAATATAATATTTGATCTTGTCTATGAGTGTTAATATGGGCAGTTCAGCAGTCAACACAGCATTTCATTTTTTATATTTATCATAAAAAGATTACTTAAAAATTAATGCAAATAAATATGGGATTTTGTCCAATGTTCTAGGTTGAAAGGAAATCAGACCTCTTTCTCAGATGAATTTTGCCAACTTGACAAATCTGCATTTTTATGCTTCCTTCTTTTTGATTCATATAACCGTCTCTTCTCCTTTTTTGCTTCATCAAGCTTATATGACTTCTGAGTTCCAAGAGCAATGCGCCACTGCCGGGGCAGCAAGTTTGGATCTCTATGTGGGACAATGAATTGCCATATAGACATCCAATCATATTTATAAGCCTTAAGTCCCTGAGTATTGGGGTCATAATAAATCAGACAGCTTGATTGCATGAGAATCTGATACATAAAACATGAATGCACCAATACATACTATATACATAAACAGGTATATATCCAGATGCAGTGTGTGAGATGCATCTAAATGCATGTTAGCTGTCAATTCTGATCCAACAACTGAGAATTGGTACCTTATTTGAGAAAAAGTCAACACACACACACACACACAAAAGAGTAATGCTTTCAAAGCTTATATATACATATATGTATGTATAATATTTATAGGTTTCGGATAAAATTACCTCCTGAATACATGCTAACTCTTCTGCAGTCAAAGGCGAGTTTTTCATCCTCCGAACTGCCTGCATGAAGAAATAGACAACTACATGAATTGCTGAGATAAAAGACAGGGTATTGTCCAACTACCCTAACAATATTTGACTTTTCATGCCTTCGCATTAATTAAACTCCAATAAATGACAATAGTAACCTTCTCATAATGGTGCTCATTTACTTTTTATAGAAAAATGTAGGAGGTGAAAGCACAAATCATCTCATTCCACCAATAATGCCTGTGTACCAAACAGCAATACTAATAATTTAATAAAGAAATATTTCAATTAATAAGTTCATCACATACCTTTATGGGATTTTCTGGTGCTTTTGATGAGCAGCGGTTTTTCTGCCTAACAAAAATCTGTAAAATAAGAAGTTCATGTCAAATAAAATAGGCCACCATTGCTTCTAATTTTATGACATTCACTGTACTTAACCATCAAGCAGACACTGAACTGAGTCCACAATAAGAAAGTAGTTAATTCTTAATTGAATAGCAACTGGCAGTATTCTGAGATCAAAAACTTGAGCATTTTTTACTTCAATCTTCTCGGATAAAACATGTGGTTGCTCTATTGCTGAGCAAAACAAACATGAGCAAGCTGAAGTTCGGTTCAAGCATAAATTACTACAAAATTATGTGGTTGCATTACATTACAAAGTAGTGGGGCTTTATTGAATACAAATGTTCCATACTAGTAATGATGCTTTGACTAGAATGTTCTCTGTACTAAAACATATGGCTCGTCTGCTGATTAGAAGAGCATGAATAATGAAAGACTTAGCAGCAAAGACAATAATCAGAAAATTTTGTGCTCACAATACATAGTCTAGAAAAGAATACCTGGCGCTCAGATTTGCAAGGAAGAAAACGTTGTTGAATTGCCTTCCAATCCATATTATATTCCATCAACCCCAATGCTAATAATCTGCATTGCAATTCCAAAATAAAACACATGAACCTCCATAAGAAAGTCTATACAACAACAATAAAGGAATACTGCAGATTGATACTAAACATGATATCTAAATTCTGACAGCAGCAACAAATCAGGATAAGCCACCAACTTAAGAATAAAGGAGAAAGCGTGCAACTCACTCGTCTTCTGCATCAGTGAAAAGCACTCGATTTGCCATGTTTCCAGCCGGTGGCTTATGGGGAAATAATGCTGGATTGAACAAAGGAAAAAATATCTGGGCTAACTTTGATATTTCCCTTGGGACTATAGCAACCGATTGCTTCTTGGTACTTTCAACAATGGTCGCAGCCAGTGACTTCTTGGGTGGTTGTTGACTAGACGAAGATGGAGCAACATTGGAAAGTGAGGAACCGGTTCCACTTACAGCTTCAAAATTGGCTTGAGCACATAATGGAAAGTTAGGAAGGGGAAACAAAGGCTCTTTTTCAAGGCGTGTATCAGAACTAGTTTCCACGTAACACCGTCGATTTTCCTGAATAGCTGTCAAAACAATTCAAATCAATAGCAGATAGATAAAGATCAAACTTCTCGACACAAATGTGCTAGCAAAAGCATGAAAAACACTTGAGACCTTCATGGTATACCTGTATCAACTTCATCCATGTATCTTCCAACTAAACTAAGTGGAGCTACATCCAAGATAGATAGCACAGGACCACTTATAGAAGGCACCCAGAAAGCAACCCCCATATTCTGAGAGAACCCCACCTGTCCATTAGGAATGCATTCATGTCTACCTTTGGAAGGATAAATATTTGGGGAAACTGCCATCTGATTATTCGAAGAAAAACATTCTCTACGTGCATCATATGTGAGGGATGACACTAAGGTGCTTTGTGTCGTGTAGGAATTAGGGAACTCAGTTGGCACTGATGGGAAAAAGCAAACAGCAGGATATGGTACACTCTTCCGTGCCAGTACCTCGTCACGCTTATGAAGCATCTCAAAGATCAATCTCTTAACCTGGGAGGCAATATGTTGCCGAGAGTAATCAAGAGCACACAGAGAAAATACTTGAATAAGTAGCTGCACATGTTCATGGATCAGGCAGTGCAACTGGCCTATCTGGTGAGCAGTGAATCCATTTATAGAACGATCTTCTACTGTGGAAGACAAACAGCTTGAAGTTGTCCCAGGCATTAGAGTTCTGCTGGCCTGGGTAGAGAAAGAGGACATTGGTCCCTTCGGCAAAACTGGTAAAAGGGGGCGCAATGGCCTTTTTGTCTGTCCTAAAATCTTCTTCTTACATTGAGCAGGAGCTTTTTGGCATCTATTCTGCCTAGTCTTCGGTCGTCTTCCAGCTCCTCCGTTCTCCTCCACAACTTTGTCCTTCACATTTTCATCCACATCACTCTCAAGTAACTCTTCAAGTTCTATCTCAAAGTCTGCATCATTATCCTCATCTTCATCATAAGCATTTTCATTTTCTTTAGTTGACTGGTCATCACCTTCACCCTGTAAAACAGCAGTGAGAAATTTCCTGTATTCTTCTTCATCATCAATATTTTGGAGGTCATCGTCATCATCTGTTTCTTGAAGAAAAGTCTCGAGTTCATCAAGTGTGAAACTTGCTAATGAATAGCGGGCCCGGGTGCGTTTACAAATAGCATCCTCATCCTCATCATCTAAATCCGTAGTGGGATTCTGGATGTCTTCTGTGTTACTCAACCCTCCTACTATAGCATCATTAACATCAGTTCCACTGCCTGAGACATCATCCTTTTCTTGAACAGTTTCACTGGCTGGTTGGGTGATGAAGGCAGCCATTCTCTTGTTAGCATTTCCAGGAACTGTTTTTTCAAATTCATTTTCAGATGCACCTTCAGGAAAAACAGTAGTTTGCATCACGATTTCTTCCTCCCCATGCTCAGATTCTCCAACAGAACACTTTTGCACCTCACGAGCCACGCTCAACGAATTAATGCCAGCAGTTTCAACAGTGTGTCTGCTGCTGTCAACAACTTCACCATCTAAACCTTCTACTTCAGAGCTCAGACTTGAAGAAGCTTCTGGTGAAAGGGTTCCTTTTAGAAAAGGATTGAAATCTACATCTTCGTCCTCGTCCTCATCCTCAACCTCATCCTCCTCAAGTCTCAAACTACTCTCATGCTGCTCACTCAAGCTTTCAGTAGCAGGAAGAGCATTTTGATGACGAAGATACCCAACTTTTGTTGATTGTGCCTTTGGACACGAAGACATTTTGGACAAGCAATATAGCATGCAGCTGATCCTTAAGATTCTAATTAAATCTTAACAGGCCCTAAAGTCTCCGGGATGACAATTAAAACACCTTTGCCACCTGAACCATGGCAGAAAATGATAAAAAGGTTAAATTTCAGGCTGACCAGTAATGATACACTGAATTAAGTAAGAAGTATGTTTATTAGAAATTGAATTAGGCAATAATGAATAGTTGGGCAAATGGGCATATCTCAGACTAAGCTACCAAGTACACTCCCCCCCACGCCCATCACCCAACAAACAAATTCAAATTAAAAAATCCCAATTTTATATTCGATAAGAGTCTCTAAATAAATCACTTAGCTCAATGCTAAAGTCACTCAATTGAACTCTTCAACCTGAACTAACAATTTATTAAAAAGACAAAAGAAAACTCAAATTCAACTAAAACCAAACGTTTACAAGCAAACAAATTCAACACAATGTGGATGCAAAGCGAAGCCCTCAGCTTTTAAAAGAAAGAAAATAGATATACCAGATGATGTGTTGCCCTGCCAATAATTCAACTTCTGAATGCCAAAGATACGATGATTGTGATTGGGAAGAAGAAGGCCGCCTGCTGCCTGTTTTGAACTCTAGTAAACTTGGACTTGACGTCTAATTACACCAAAAACCCAATGCACCTTCGAATTTTAAGATCAAAATCTAAAATCCACAACCATCAAATTTTATCTAATTTCACTCCCAAAAACCCTACGTCCCAAAATGTCAAAACCAGTGATTGCGAGCGAAAATTGAAATACGGAAAAAGAAATGATAGGCTCGAGAATTGTGCAGCCGCTGTGAAGCCTGTCAATCGGTGTTTGCTCCTTTGGGTCACAGCCTCTGTAACACCGTTTTGGGCAACGAGGAAGGGGCGGGTTGGAGATGAGCCACGTCAGCAAGTGTCGTTTCGTCCTGTCTACCAAGACTTGAAACGCCAGCAAGTGTCGCTTCGCGGTATTTGCCCTCGTCCCTCGCTCACAAAACGTTGCGTTTGGATGATTTATAAATTAGGCGGGTACGGTGGTGGGCTAGAAACGCTGCATTTATGCGCCTTATTTTAGTTAAAATGTAGCTAAAAATACTATAAAGTTATTTTATGAGTTTTTTTAAAATTTCAACTCTAAGACCATCTCCAACCCTTGGAGTGGAAACTCAAATTTTGAGTTTAGCCTCCAAAAACCATCTCCAACCCATGTATTTTGGGGGGTGGAAATTTGAGAAATCTCAAATCTTGGGTGGAATTCCAGTTCCATTTTTGCCTGGATTGATAATTTTGTGGGCCCAAAATCTGTTTTTTTTATTTATTTTTTTCTGACTGAAGCCCATGTGCTGCACAATGTTTGCTGGGCCCAGTTTTGGTTACACTGTTTGGGCAGCAACTTTGTGCCAAAAATCTGATATTTGTTTTTTTTTTTTTTTTTTTTTTTTTTTTTTTTTTAATACAACTATATTTGTAATCAATAATCATGATTAATTTTAAGCAATCTCAACGGCAAAATTTAATGATTGTCGTTTATTTAAAAATTCTTAGATAATTTAAACACACTTACATAATTCAATGAAGAGTTCGAATTATTCCGGGCATACGTATGGTATTATACTTATTTTAATTTTTTAAGTGAAATTCAATTATGTTTTGGAATTTTATTTTTTTTAGGTTAAAATGTTTAGAAAATTAAATCACGAGTGTTGAAACAAAAATAATGTCAAGAAAAATTAACAAGAAACAAAATTTAGGGGTAAATCATTCTTAAACAATTTAATAAAGTTACGGACTCAAATTATGAGTCTACAAGATTGGAGGAAAAAAAAATTTGAGTTCTGAAAATACATGAATAGTTGTATTTTGGAGGGTGAAAATTTGAGTTTAGCCCCAACATGGTTGGAGATGGTCTAACCATGCTCTCTAGTAGTTTCTCAAAAAAAAAAAAAAAAAAACTACTATGCTCTCTCCATAAATAATTTATTTCTTCTTTCAGTTTAGCATAAATACTCTCTCTTCATATAAAATAATTAAAAAAAATAGTTAAAAAAATGAAATAAATACTTAAAATAACATTAAAATAAAGAAATATTTAATTATATGGAGCCACCACCACTGTGATGGGAACCCATTGGCAAATAATCTATCCCATTTTCCTCAATTAAAACCTCAATTCACCAAAATCCCTAAGCATCAAAAGAATCCTAATTTAGCCCTAACTTTGCTTTGGATTGCTCAAAATGGACTGAAAAAATTCGGATTTATTCCTAAAAAATTCATCACGTGCAATTCACGCAATTAAAATTGACAAGAAATATGATGAAATGACTAATTGACACAATGAGAGAACTGAAGAACTAAAATAACACGTTAAATTAATAGGATGACAAAAATGAAACTCGAGTATAAGTTCATGACAACGAAAAAGAAAACTAAAGTGATTTGTGACCCGACCCGACTTAATAGGTCGGGTCAAAAACCAAAATCTCTTTGTATTGTTCGGCCCATGATACTCTCAGTCTCGAATTAAATGGGGCAGCTCGTTCCCAACTGGGCCGCCTAGTTCCCAAACTACCCCTCACTCCTTTGTTTCCCAAACGAGCTCTTTCTTCTGCCTCAGCAGTTGAGCTTGAGCTAGAGATTTTGCGAGGGTTTTGAGAGGCTGCAAGTCTGCAACAAGAAGAAAAAGATGGAGTTCGAGAAAAGAAAAGTGGCGACGCTAGCGTCACTGCAGTCGGAGGAGACAGACAAATCACCGAAAGGCACGGTGGACGTCCCCATCATACCTCTCCTCAACACCCTCAACAGCCACCCAAATTACTTCACCACCAGTTCCTGCTCCGGCCGTATCTCTATCCTCTCCCAACCCCCACACCCAAAACTCAAGACCAAGAAGAAAGCCTTGGGCGGCACGTGGCTCTTCATCACCCACGACCCGGCCGATCCCGATTCAGTCCTCAACCGCCTCTTCCGTTCCGAATCAACTCGCAAAGACGAACAAGACAACCAAAACGAACTCGTTTTTAGATTCGAGCCTCTTATCATAGCTGTTGAGTGCAAGGACTTGGCTTCGGCTCAGTCTTTGGTTTCAAAGGCAATAGCTTGTGGGTTCAGAGAGTCTGGCATTACAAATTCGAGCAAACGCGTGATTATCGCGATACGTTGCTCAATACGATTGGAAGTGCCGCTGGGGAGTAGTGACGAGATTATGGTATCGCGCGAGTATGTCAGGTTCCTTGTTGGGGTGGCAAACGAGAAAATGGAGGCCAACAGGAAGCGGACTGAAGCATTTTTCCTGGCTTTGCAGAGTGAGAGTGGGGGATTTTTGGGACCGACCCCTGCGAATGGTGGGACTGTAGCAGATGGGGAGGCTGAGTTGGAAGCAAGAGATGACAATGCCCATTCTGATTCTGGTATTTTAATTTTGATGATTTTGAACTCTGAAATTTACTTGGGTTGTTTTGTTTGTGTTTTTGGTTTCTGTGGTATTTTTTGGAAGTTGCAACCTTTATTTTGATGGAAAATGAAAGTGGATTGCAAATCTGTATTGCAGGACACCTTTCCTTTTAATGTGAAAGCAAGTCTGAGTCTTTGAAACATTGGCAGGGTCCGTGGAAGTTCCTGGTTGTAGTCTGTCTGTGGTTGAGATGGCAATTTCTGGTGAACCCGAAGAGAATCTTTTCCTTTGGGGTCATTCTGCTTGTGCATTAGAAGCCAAAAACCAGAATGGTGTTCTTGTGTTTGGTGGCTTTGGAGGCATAGGAAGGCATGGAAGAAGAAATCATTCTTGGCTGGTTGATCCATTTTCTGGCACTGTGAAAGCAATTAATGTAGAGAGCAGCCCGTCCCCACGATTGGGTCACACATCTTCTTTGGTCGGAGATTGTGTGTTTGTTATTGGAGGCAGGTCTGACCCTGAGAAAATTTTGAGTGATGTCTGGGTCCTCAATACATCAAAGAATGAATGGAAGTTCTTAGAATGTTCTGGGGACGTATTTCCTCCCAGGTGAGACTTTTAACTGCATAATCTACTAAAGTGGTCGTTATTTTTGTTTCTAAAAAATGCATCTAAGTTAGTTATATTTATGTTAAGCAGGCATCGGCATGCTGCAGCAGTTGTAGGCTCAAAGATATATGTTTTTGGTGGACTTAACAATGATAAAATCACTTCTTCCTTGCATGTCCTCGATACAGATAATCTGCAGTGGAAAGAGTTGTTTGTCAGTGGGGAACATCCATGCGCCCGACATTCTCACTCAATGGTGGCATGTGGATCTCAACTATATATCTTTGGAGGATATAATGGTGAGCAAACACTTGGAGACTTGTACGTTTTTAATATCCAAACATGTAAATGGAAGAAGGAAAAGGCGGCTGGGAGAAGTCCGCATGCAAGGTTCTCCCACTCAATGTTTGTATACAGGAATTATCTTGGAGTTATTGGTGGTTGTCCAGTTAGACAACATTGCCAAGAGTTGGCAATACTTGACTTGAAGCAAAGTGTGTGGAGGCATGCGAATCTTGAATCTACTAGTGAAGATTTGTTTGTGCGCAGCACAGCTAATATTGTTGGTGATGATCTTGTTATGATTGGTGGTGGCGCATCTTGTTATGCATTTGGAACAAAGTTTAGTAAGCCTATGAAAATCAACCTGCTTCCCCTGATGAGTATAGATAATAATATTAAACCAGTTGTTGGACAAAGGCATGCTCACCATTATGAAATGGTTAATAGTGAGAAAAGTGGACGATTCCAAGATCCACAGGCTGAAGATGCGCAAAGCTTAACTGAAGCTCTTGATCTGAATTTTGAGAGTGACTTTCCCGGGGAAAATGGCATAGGTCAGCAGGTAGAGTCATATTGGATTCTACAACTCAAAAGAAAATATGCAAAAGTAGGCAAGGACATATTGAAAAAGTTTGGATGGTTAGATCTTGGAAGGAAGGTTTACTCCAGGAAAGGTGGTTCACATATTTGTTTTCCAGTAAACGGAAAATTTTCAGGTGTATTTAAAGAAAATAAACGTCCTTTGACAGATTTATCTGAAGGAGAGAGTGATCACTTTGTTAAACCAGTTATCGGGGAAGAATGTTTGTTGAATGAGGTCACCTGTTCAAAAGCCTTGGACATTCTAAAGGAATGTGGTGCTACTAAGCTGGCAGATGAAGTCCTTGAAGTCAGGAGAGCTGCCAAATCTCCCTTGAAAGTAATGAATGAAGCTGTGGGCTCTCTGATCAAGGATAAAGGACTACCTGAAGAACTCTTAGAGGAGCTACCAGCAAGGTTTGTGTTTGTGTTCTCCTGTGCAAGTATGTATTTTTTTTTTCTTTCAATTAAGCTGATTATAAATCATGTAAAAAGGCAAAAATTGTCTTAATGGAGTAAAGGTTAATAATGTATATATTTGGGGAAAGGAAACAAGTATGGACGCAAGAGGAGTTAAGTTAATAATAACACAGAAGATTTGTTAGTTATATATCACATATCACGTTTTTCAGTTAAAACCTATAGATGAGGGCTGCACTGGTGATACAGTGACCGTGAATGATAGTGATACTCATATTAAATGGTTTTGTCTTTTGTTAGATGGGAGCGACTTGGAGATATAGTTGTGCTTCCGGCAACATCATTCAAGAATCCATTATGGGACTCAATGCGGGAGGAGCTTTGGCCTGTTATTGCCAAATCAGTTAATGCTCATCGCCTTGCACGCCAAGTAAGTAATATACATAAATACATATAAAGAGTGGTTTTTCTCAATAAAATTAAACTATTCTCAAGTAGTTATTTGGTTTACTCATTTTCCATGCCTTATTTTGGTTTGTATATATTCATCAGGGCCGAGTTGCATCAAACGGTACAAGGGACAGTACTTTGGAGATTCTTCTAGGAGATAATGGATGGGTTGATCATCGTGAAAATGGCATTCTCTATTCTTTTGATGCTACTAAGTGTATGTTCTCCTGGGGCAACCTTTCTGAGAAGCTTCGCATGGCCTCTCTAAATTGCAGAGATGAGATTGTTGTGGATTTGTTTGCTGGAATTGGTTATTTTGTTCTGCCATTTCTTGTCAGGTACATCTCTCTCTCTCTCTCGCACACACACACACACACACACACAAAAATCTTGGTGTATATATAGAACATAAAAATAGTCAGTCTATCAGAGTCTGTTTGTCTGTCTGCAATATGGATTTTATTAAAAGGAGGAGGATAATAAGTTAGGATTTCATACTAGAGATGCAAGTAAGAAAAATATGCATTAAATTCTATATTTTACTTTTACTTTTTCTTGGGAAAGGTGAAATTCTCTTCAAGAATAATTATCATAGGAAAACATTTGTGACATTCGTTGGCAGACTTAAGACGCTTGGATGAATCTTCTAGATACATATTGCTTTATCATTCTTATACCTAAGATGCACCTGTTTGCTGCTGATGTTGTTTCTAAGTGATAATGTTGGTTGACCAGGGCCAATGCGAAACTAGTTTATGCTTGTGAATGGAATCCCCATGCTGTTGAGGCACTGCGGCGAAATGTGCAAGCCAATTCAGTGAGTGATCGGTGTATCATTCTTGAAGGAGATAACCGGACAGTAGCACCTAAAGTATGTTCAAAGACTGGCATCTTTTTCATTACTAACTGATATAGATATCATGCAACTTCATCTGTGTATGCGTGTGTGTGCACGTGCTTTTTGTTTCACTTCATTTTGTGTTCACATAGTGCAAGAATTCATCATTATCATAGATATAATAGTATACAAACCAGGGATAATGTCCAAGACGAGGTTCTGCTGTGTGTGGCTATAACTTGATTGTTTTCTCACCAGGGAGTGGCTGATCGGGTCTGTCTCGGTCTCATTCCAACAAGTGAGGGTAGCTGGGTCACTGCTGTTAGGGCATTAAGGTGATATGTCCTTGTATTGTCAAATTATTGTTCTTGTCATCATTTTTTCTGATTTTAAATGCTTTCTGCAAATATTTTCGCTTATGAGCACTCTAAATAATTAGTTCCTATGCGAGATCAATGCTTTAATTGCATGTCCAAAGGATGCTTCAGCATCATAAGGAGTTGAAGCTCTCTCTCTCCCCCTCTCTCCCTCTCTCTCTAACATATGGACCAATGTACACAATTTGATGTAATTCTGACAATGCAGGAGTGAGGGCGGGCTGCTACATGTGCATGGTAATGTCAAGGACTCGGAGGAGAGTTTATGGACTAAACATGTATCAGAATCAGTAGGTGAAATTGCTAAATCTGAAGGTATTTTTTCTCAGACACATGAATATTAAATACATAGGCATAAGCCATTTCCTGTTTAGAGGGTGGTGTAAGTGTAAATTGCTTTTGTTTGCAGGTCATTGTTGGGAAGTTACAATAGAACATTTGGAGAGAGTGAAATGGTATGCCCCACATATCCGTCATCTTGTTGCAGATGTAAGATGTAGACAGAGCCAGAGATGACCAAATTAAAGCCTCTCTGTTGTATAACTTATAAGCAACAAAATTATTCAAGACCCGCATTTTCACGGGATCCTGGGCCTCCTGGCAGCACACTAGGGTTACTGGGTCCGATTAGTTTTGGCCTGTTTGATAATATCTTAGTTTATTTTTCATTTCTGATAATCTTATATTTGATTATTAGACTGAACTTCATCTGATGGTGCATGTCCTGTCATTTATATACTTGTTGTTTCTGAATTTAGATTGGTCTTTAAAATTGGAAAGCCTGCATATTGTGTCATCTATCTGCTTCCCTACCCAGGTTGTATTTCCCTCTTCTTTCTATCTCTCTCCTCGTTTAACAAGTGACATGAGAAGAGAGATAGAAAGATTGGGGCAATACAAGGGAGTGGGGAAGTTTTTCTGGTAGATGGCATGTAGGCAAACATTTTGTACTTCGAAAGTCAAATTAATTCGAGTCTAAAAAATAATTTTGGAATGCGGTTTATGGTTGCGGTTCATTTAAATTGTTGTAGGAATTCAATGTACGGACGGATTAAAATATTAGGTGGATCGTAGACCCGCCAGGATCTAATGCCGGATCCTTGTGAACTTGTTCCTTGGTCATAATAAATTAAATCGACTCAATAAAAAAAAATGATGTAATCCATAATCCAAAGCTGTTGCTGAGATTCTACGTGCAAGAAAAGAAAAATAGTAAATTGCTCCTACTTGTTGCTTTGTCAGTCAGACTCAGACAGGATCATTAATGCTATTGTAAATTTAATAATTTTGGTAATTAAAAAATAAATAAATAAGTGTCCTATTATTAGGAGGAGTTATCCTACACATGACAGGCACGTGCATGAAATGGGGTATCTGACAAAACCATGCAAAATTATTTATTGAAATGCGGATAAATGTTACTGTTTTAATTTTAAACTTGCAGAACAAGAACCAATATATATTATTATAAATTTAAGATGCCTTGACCAAAAAAGAAAAAAGAAAAGATGATCATCTTTAACAGCTAAGATGTGTACTAATTAAGTAATATGTGAGGATGAGTCATAATTCTTGGGCTCCACCCGTCATCTTCCACCTTTCAGTGCATGTAGACCCAACAAATGATGTTCACAATTCTCTCTCAACTTTGAAGGCCGAAGTGTCGGTAGCCATAGTTGTGTTTTACTGTTTACAAATGAGTAGCACAGTTAATTAGCTTAGCTTAAGTTAGGTTTAACATAATTTAATATAAAACGACACCAAATAAAACCAAACTTAGTTTGTCCCACTCAACTCACCATTTAAATTTCCATATGTTTATACAATATTTGTTTTTTAATAGGATCTAAATTCAAGGGCTTTCTCTAAAAACACGTAAAAATTGAGTGTCACTAGATTAAATCATTATTCTTGGTGAATTGAATGATTTTTTTTTTGGTGGTCCTGAAAGATAATGCTAGCTTTCTTTCATTTTCTTTTTCTTTTTGTGGGCCGCCATGCGTTATCATAGTGTTTCGTCATAATGTCATTGCCTTTCCGCATTACATTTGGCTTCAAGAAATGCATGGTACGTAATTTTATGTTGTTTGAGTTGCATTAAGCTTGCACATTAGTGGAAAACCTCAACATACGAGAGGTCAGTTCGGTGATTGATTTTGGTCAAGATCAACAATTACCTCACACTTAAAAAGTTAAATCATAGATATGATTTAATGATTATGTTGAAATCAATCGTCCATGGTCGTGTCTTCATTGTACTTTCATTTTCACTGCCTTGGCACTGATTTTCTTTTTTCGGGTGCCTTCAATGATGCCATCTCCAATATCAGGTGCGAAAGTAGAGCAAGACACTTGTAGCTTACGTTATTCAATTCTCTCTCCAATATCGGTTGTAAGTCAAATTTATTAAATTGAGGATTCAATTCAATTACAGAGGCGGTGGGCACCGAAATTTGGAACTAGTTATGTGATGTGAGTCACCAAAATGTGACTACAAAAAATTGGAAAAATAGATATGTAACGTAAGCCATTTTACACAAATACTTGAAGATGAGGTCGAGATCAAGCAAACTGTGGTCCATCTTTACAAAATATTACATGGATTGTAACGGCTCACCCTTCTGGCATTTTCTTCTGTGAACTGTATATGCAATGCAAACACGACACAAGTGTAACCAAGTGCCAGCTTCCAGCACCATACTAAAGTTTGAGCCTTTGCTTAGTAGTAAATGCTTGCAGTGAAAACAACACTGAAAAAGGTCAAAGGGGGCATCTCAGAGAGCCCAAAATTGCAACAAGTGTCTCTTATTTTAACTTTTTAATGCCATTTTTATCCATATTTCTTCTATTTAAGAAGTAGCCAAGACCCCAGAGCAAAGCAAAGCAAAGCAAGGCAAGGAGCTTTTAGATTTAGTGAAAGCAGCAGCAGCAGCAGCAGAACAGAAACCATGAGTTCCAGAGCTCTCTTCTTCTTTGCTTTGCTGGCTTTCTCAGCAGTGTCTTGTTTTGCTAAGAATGAAGAAGAGCCAGGTCTTGTTATGGACTTTTACAAGGACAGCTGTCCTCAGGCTGAAGATGTTATCAGAGAACAAGTCAAGCTTCTCTACAAGCGCCACAAGAACACTGCATTCTCTTGGCTCAGAAACATCTTCCATGACTGTGCTGTCCAGGTATATATATATTTCTGACAAATATTTGCTGCTTTTCTGTTAGTTAATTATTTAACCCTTTTCTTTTCTTTTCTTTTTTGGGTTTTGTGGGATTTTTACAGTCATGTGATGCTTCCCTGCTGCTGGACTCAACCAGGAGGTCCTTGTCTGAGAAGGAGATGGACAGGAGCTTTGGGATGAGAAACTTTAGGTACATTGAAGAAATTAAAGAAGCACTGGAGAGGGAGTGCCCCGGAGTTGTTTCTTGTTCGGATGTTCTTGTTTTGTCTGCTAGGGAGGGTGTTGTTCGGGTACTTTCCTCCTTGACCTCTCTTTTTCTTTGACTTGACTCTCTTTCTTCTGTAAAACAGAGATCTCAAGTTGGTACAATTTGGTTTTGATCTTTATTTAGTAAAATTTGACAAGAACTCTAGTTTTATTATTTCCTTTTCAGCTAAAAGATAACAAGGATTTTCACAGATTTTTGTCCAACGAATACCACTAAAGCTGTTGTTACCTTTTTTTCTTGTGGTTTTTGGTACATTTTTCATATTCTGTTGGTCTGTAAAACAGAGATCTGAACTGCTTGTACAGATTTTTATCTATTTCTGGGACCGCAAGACTGTTTCCTTTTAATTGTGGATTTGGTAGATTTTTCAAGTACAATTCTCTTAATTATTTTCAACTTAATTACTGTGTTCTCAGCTAGGAGGCCCATTCATCCCTCTCAAAACTGGAAGAAGAGATGGAAGGAGGAGCAGAGCAGAGATCCTTGAGCAATACCTTCCTGACCACAATGAGAGCATGTCCACTGTCCTTGAGAAGTTTGCTGACATGGGCATTGACACCCCTGGTCTGGTTGCCCTGCTAGGTATATATGCACATCACTATCCACCATGTCCATCCATCCATCCATCCATACATACATACATACATAGTTTTAAAGTTATTAAACATGATTAGCATGCATGTTACTTCACTGATTATGGTCTGATTGTAATTAACAGGAGCTCACAGTGTTGGTAGAACACACTGTGTGAAGCTGGTGCACCGTTTGTACCCAGAAGTTGACCCTCAGCTCAACCCTGACCATGTTGGTCACATGCTCAAGAAGTGCCCTGATGCAATCCCTGACCCCAAAGCGGTTCAATATGTGAGAAATGACCGTGGTACCCCCATGATATTTGACAACAACTACTACAGAAACATTTTGGACAACAAGGGTTTGATGATGGTGGATCACCAACTAGCCACAGACAAGAGGACAAAACCCTATGTCAAGAAAATGGCCAAGAGCCAAGACTACTTCTTTAAGGAGTTTTCAAGAGCCTTCACCATTCTCTCTGAGAACAACCCTCTTACAGGAACAAAGGGAGAGATCAGGCAGCAGTGCAATGTTGCCAACAAGATCCACGACTAGATCAAACCTTTTACTTCGTAAAAAAAAAGTCTTGATCCACTCTTTTTTTTCTTTGATTATGCAACTGAGGAAAAAAAAAGTGTGAGAGAGACAAGCTGCATAATAAGACGGGTTTTCTAGATGCTGTGTTGTTTTTATGGCAGTGTTCATTGCTCTGGTCAAAAGGCATGTGGTGTCATGTTGGCCTAAAGCCTTTGATCATGCACTAGTTGTTGATGTAGGTTTTATTTTGTTATTTTCTTCTTTGTCGTTGGATGAGATGGGCATGGGGGATGTTGGGATGTGTGTATGTATGTATGGATGGTTTGAACTTTGAACATGTATGATGCATGGATTTCAATGATGATGGTTATTGATGATTCATGCTTATAAATCAAGCATCTTTCATGTTGTGGGGAAATACATTATAATTAGTCAAAAAATAAAAAAGTAGCTCAAATTAAAATGGAAACAGAAGACGAAAGATAGAAAGGATAAGATTCTCAATAACACGTAAGCAAATATATGAATAAGCAGATCAATGCCACTAATTAATTAATTAATATCAGTTGGTGGGTAGGCTACTCAGATAGTAATGTGTGCATTGCTTGGAAGGATATGGTTATGAAAGATTTGCACAGACACAATAATTAACCAGAGGATGGATGGTTCCAAAAGCTTCACATTATTGAGATAATAAATGAGCAGAAAATGTCAAGATAGACAAAGAGAGACAGGAGACATCAGATCTATATACCTTTAGCTATGTATTCTAGAGAGAGAGATTTGTTGACACATGTCATAAGCTATTGCTCAGGTGGTTCTCCTCAGTCATTCAGATAAGAGACTTTGTTTTCTGAAGCATGGCTCATATCTTTATCCATCAATTTTACTGTGGAAATGCGCAGTAAGAATTGCAGTTATTTTTGTACAATTGCACATTATCATGGATTATATTTTGTTATTCGTTGAAGAGATGGAGATGTATTTTATTATTATGTATTATGGGATTGTTTTGTCAAATTTAAAGTAAAATGATTCTGTTTAGCTATGTAAAACTCTGAAGGTGATGTGTCAAGTGAATGGTGCAATGTGGGTTTTCACAAGACAAGGATTGTTTTCAACAGAAAAGTGTTGCAGATGCAAGAACAGCATTAGATTGAACAACAAAGAATTTGGAAATTACATACCCTCTGAGAAGTGGAGGACCAAAAATGCATCATTCTTTCATTTCTTAAGAATAAGATAACTCTCTCCAGTTCTGATAATTTACAAGGAAGACATATATGTATGATAATTGATCGGCTGTCATTGCACCTTGCTAATTCTTCTTTGGTTCAATACTGCTTGAACTGCAATCATAGTCACTATCAGCTTCCTCTGAGGCCACAACATTTTTCCCTACTGCTTCTACCATTTTGGGGATCAAAGGACTGCAAGAGGGATGGCTGTAATATGGCCGTGGATGGACAAAGTAAGTTCCGGTAGAAGGGAAAGATGGGTAGCCATAACTAGATTGATAAGGTCCAGGAGAAAATGTGTTCGGGGGAGGCCAAAATACCATAGGCACAAAAGGGTTTGCTGGTTGTGGGGGAAAATTATGATACGGGGTTTGGCTACAATAGGAGATATTATTATTTGTACCACCAGCATTGGGGATCAAAGTGTTTGAGATTGGTGGAGCATCTAATGGTGTATGAGACTGAGATGGCATGGACTGGAATGTTGCCATTGTGTGAGTTTGAATAGAGGTATGACCAACTAGTCCAAATTGAGCAGAAGGTGCAGAGGTTGAAAGGGTAGTCTGTGGGAATGAGGACCTCTGCATATAATGAGGCTTGCTATTTGAGTGAGTTTGTTTCTTCCCCTTCATTTTTGATGGACAAGTCTTACCACACAGCTTCTGAGAACCTGGACTAGCCTGCTGAAGGAGCACAAGATCATTAGCAAATTCAGAAACCTTTGTCTTCAGAAACTCAAAACTAGCTTATTCTTTTTGACACATGCATACTAAGTTTTAAAAGTTGTCAATCTTTAACATAAAAAGAGAAGTATTCAGATATATGAACTAGGAAGTTGTGATCTTACTGTATCACAAGGCATGGGATGTGGAAGAAATAATTCCTCTCCTTCAGCATCATCATCTGTCCTGCAACAAACAAAAAAAACTATGCTCTGTTAAAATTATATACTCTTCAGGAAAACCACACAAACAGCATTAGGATGCTTAGAATCCAAAAAAAATTATAGATATGAAACTATCCGAATAGGTTTTTCATTCTTTTTCTTCAAAGAGACAAAAAAAAACCATAAAACTGCATTCATCTCTTATCTTGCATTCTGCTCCACAAATATCCATTTCCAAGTAGTATATTAGTTCTGCATACCTATAATATTTCTGAAGCAAATCTAAGTTCCGGTATTTGGTTTCCCTTTGAACCAGATCATCAGGAAAACCAGCCATGAAAAGAAGTGCGATGCCCAAGGCCTTGAAGAAGAAGCTTCCACTGCGAATATGAACTAGCATTGCCATTCGGCACATTAGTGGCCCAAAAGACTTTAGCTTGTTTCTTCCCATACGCTGCCTCACATATCTGAAACATATTAATGCACAGATAATTTAGTAAAGCTGCAAGTAGAAATCCTTAGATATTTATAGGACATGAACAAGGGACCTTGGCCTTGATCACTCGCACAAAAAACCAATTACTCAATACTAACTTACTCATTTTGGGGAAGATTTCTTGTCCTTCCACCATACTTAATGCACAGAAACAGCCATGATGGGCAGCTAGGATCCGATGGCCGCATAGCGTTCTCTTCTTCAAGTATTTGAACAGGACATAATGTTGGGTTCTGTTGATTTGGATATAATACCTTCCTCCGAACACCAGGATTCTCATATAGAACATGCTCCTGGTAATAAATAAATAAAATTTCTTTTTTGATGATGAACAAAGAATGATTAAGATCAAAAACTTGTATTTTGGAAGCAAAACTTGTCATATGATAACCCGGCAACTGGATAGGGTTATCTCATAAGAGTTGAATCAGATCATTCATCTTAGCATTAAACACCTCAGTCGGTGATCACTTAAATGTCATAATGAAATGGCATCAAAAGAATTTTGTTTAATGACAACAGCAATTACAAGAACTAGAGCAAGAAGAGACCAACTTTGACAGCATAATATACTAATTTTCTTACCCCAGGATCTTTTGGAGACATGTATGGCTCTCCCTTCCTTAAAATGCTAAAATGATTGAAGTCTAACTCATATATATCTTCGCAACCATGCCTAATACCAAGAGATGCAAAAACTATGATCTTCCTTATGGTGTGGGATTGAGCATTTTTCTGTAACAGGGATTCTGAATCAATTATTCTCTTCACTTCTTTTGGGCAGAATGCCACCTTTGGAGGTTTTTTCTGTTGTGATGTGCTTGCAGATCCTGTATGAAGAAACTCCTTCTCCAAAGTAAGGATATTAGGTGGTACATTGTAACTTCCGAAATCATTCATTTCTTTCTTCTTTTGGTTTGTAAGTTCCATATCATTACAAACTGGTCCTGTATCAGGTAGCTCATTTGTTTCTTGGTTCACATTTGAAAATACTGGCTCACCCACACCTGAGAAATCCTTTGTACATGGCACATCTGATCCCTTATCAACAACTTCATATTCCTTCTGTGTATGATCATTATTAATACAATCCTCTTCACGGAAATCATCATCAGTATCATCAGTATCATCAGAGTCTGCTGAGTCACCATCTTTAACTTTTTCTAAATGCAAAAACTGGGTTTCCTCCATGCTCATCCAGTTGACTAAACGGTCTTCTAGAATTGGATCTTGAAGAGCCAAGCATTGCTTATCATGCTTCTTCTGTGAAGCCATTTCAGCTGGGATAATATTTCTATCTCCAGTCCCTTTACTAGTGAGTTCTATCTTCTGTCTCTTGAACTTCTTGAAGCTTCTTTCCATTGCATTGGAACAACTTCCCTGAAACCAAAAGTTAAGAGGGTAGCATAAACTTGTGAACTTGAGTGCAACAGTTACCCTTTTCAAATCAGCATTTGCTTTACTCAGTACTCATCCACAAAGATTGATGGGGAAAAAAAAAAACATGATCATTGAAAAGAAAGAACAGAAAACAATATTGATACGTGGATAAAACAACTAACATTTTTTACTCCTTATTTACTTCAACATGTTCAGATTATCCAAAATGTCAAAACAAATAGTGAAGACGTGAAAACCAAAGGAATGTGATCCCTGCTTGATAAAACTATGCCTCTCATAAAAAATTAACACATGATTAATGGGACCATAAAGTAAAATGCTTTAACTGAGCCTCTAATAGCTGTATGTTTGTAATCAAAATTCATTGAAAATAAAGCACCAGATACTAGTTGAAAAACTAAGAAACTACCAAACAAAAAATGGTGCTCCTACTTGTCTATCTGTTCGAGGGGGTTCCTTATCTCTTTCCTGTATTTGAGCTTCAAGAATTAGTATCCTCTCCATAAGCTCTGCATTCTTCTGTCTTTCTCTCTCTAATTCGGCTGAAATCTCAGCAATAACATTGACACTCTCTCCTCGCATTCCTTCCTCTATAACGCATAGTGCAGAAGCATTGACCAAGGGAGCACAAGACTGAAGCTCCACCATTAGGCGGCCAAACACCAATTTGAAAATCTTTAATCTTCGACACCAATTAAGAATCGCATGAAATCGTAGATACCCACCAAGGAATCCTATAAAAAGATGAAAATCATGAAAGAAAATTAACATATGGAAGCAAAACCCTGATACCCCATGAAGCAAAACTGCAAAATTGCTCAAGAACTAAACTTGAAGACAACCCCGTATCAAACAGAGCATATGCATAGTGGCAAAAATAAACATCAATGCATTAGATGAGTAGGCCTAGTTGAAATGGGAATGAAGTGAGTCAAAGTGTCAATCAAACCGAAGGAAGAAATCACCAACTTTTGTTAGTTTAGGATGATCAGAGCAAGTGTTGAAGTCCTGGAATGTAAGAAGAGAAACACCAAGAAGAAAGTGATATTTCTAACTCTCCATACAATGAGTGATTGTGATCGGAATATGAAGAGGCTTTTGTGCTTGGTTTTTGTTTCAGTTCTGTAAATTGGAAAAGGAAGAACCGCGAGGGGGCAGACATGCAATTGCACGTGCACTTCTCCCTTTCTCTCTCATTGGACTTCAGGGCTCCGCATGAAATCTATTTTCCAAAAGCAGTTTCCTATTCTTATCAGAGTTGATAACAATACCAAAACATGATTGAAAAATACATTTCTGGAAATTGATTGAATCACATTCACAAAATTAAAAGCCAGTGTGAAGAAGAAGACTATCACTTTGGCCCCATTTGGTTCATGGAACAGATTTGAGGGAAAATCAATTCCATGTTATTTTCCAAAAAATGGGAAATGGAATATTCATTTCCCACGTTTGGTAATGCCGGGAAAGTAACCGGGAGATATCACTTTATTTCCTTTCCTATTTTTGTTTTGAGTAGAAATTGAAAACAAAGTTTGTATAATTTTCCAATTATACATATATTAAATCAAATAAAAAATAATGCATTTAATGATATATTGTAATTCTAAATTGTTAATATGGACAAAATTGTCATGAAAAATATGCATTAATGTTGATTCATTTTCCCAAACTTTTCCACGAGGAGGGAAAACAAAACTCAAGTTGGGATGAGAGCTTCACTTTCCTCCAAGGCCTTTGACCTATTTATTTCAAAATGTGCATTAATGTCAATTCATTTTTATTTTTTTATATTAGGAACACTAAAACTTAGAACCCAACAAGGCCTCTGACCTATTTAACTTTTTTTCTCTTTTTAAAAAAGCGCTTTGAGTCTCACAATTTGGTGACAACAACTCACAGTTCTGATTAAATATCTAACAACAATGTCTTCTTATGGAAGTGGTGAAGCTGGTACCCCATATTTCAGCAATGCAAGATTAGAGCATCCTATGCACTTTCTCTATATTTTATGTGAACAAACAATGCATAGTTTGCTCATCAAGTAAAGACATATAATAACTTACCTCTTTACTTTACCTCTGACCCAACCAGGCTTTGTATGGTTCCCTCCCATTTGGATTAATATGCTTATGAACCTGTCATATGCTAAACCAGTTTTGCAAAATTCCATTAGTGTAGGGATGGCAATCGAGTTGTATCGTGTCGTGTTTTTGTATCGAGTGCTAATTAATCTTAACCCAAAGCATGTCTTTGTATTTTGGTACCCTTAGTTATAGATTAATCATTCAACAATTATGTCAGTAATGCAAAATTAACAATCAAGGGGTGACGATTAGAGAAATGAAAAGTTAGTAATTTGATGTCCTTCTTGACTTAGGGAGTCTCATTACCCCTGTTTCCCAGGTCTGCAAGTATAAAAAAGATGGTGTGCACACGTGCATATAAAATGGTCAGTGGGCAACATTATAGAATTGCAACCTCACGTGGAACGGAAACTTAAATGCTTGTCTCTTTGATGCAATTTATGTCAGGGAATATGAAGGTTAAAAAATCCTTGGATACCATCCTTCTAATTTTAAACAAAAATCCACCATCTGGGGCACTTTGCTCTTTCCTAGTCAGGTTTCAGCAGAAGACAGATGAGCCCTGGCAACGTTGACTTGGTGATCAAGGCTTGAAGCCAACGTAAACAAGGGCAGATTAGTCTTTTCACTTGGAGGGTTGTCCAGATTATGAAAACTGTGGGTGCCCAAAACCATTGCCATAAACAAATCTGTCTTCAGGGTTCTGTGGAAACTGTGCTGCAGTGCTGGATGGAGGGTGAAAAAGAAAGCCCTGTTAATAGTGAATGCACACACAAACACCCCTTGATTCACATTCACTGGCTTTCTAATTTTCAAGACAATAGTATTCTAATAAGAACCCTGGGGTGGGGCTGAAGGTTGTCTAAGTAGGTCTAGGGCCGTGTCGTATATTTATTTTGTTTGTCTTGTGAACAGTGATGAAAAGTTTTTCGATGTTTAAGGTGTGTGCTCTCTTTCAGTTTAGCTTCACACGACATGTAAGAGAGGAGATGGAGGAGTTTTTCACACATGATATTGGAGATAAGAGGATTCGAATACAGGACGTCGGGTACATGAATAACTGTTATTAACTACTTGAGTTACAAACTCTTGCGATGAGATGAAGGAGATGGAGGAGTTACGTGGTTCCATTTGATTCAAAATCAACTCAAAGTTTAAGAATCGAGACATTTAATTAATTAATTAATACCATCTTGAGAAAAAACTCTATTTTAGCCCTATTCTTTTCTCAACTCGTCATCTGATATTAAAACCCTTCCTTACACGTGGCAATCAGAGACTTATCTGTTGGTCCTGTCGGACCAACGTGTTAAGCTCACAGTGAACAGAGAACGTCCGCCTCATGAATCTAACGGCAGCCGTATATTATATGATCATAACTGCCTATATTAGTCATTGTGGAAGAAGAAAATAGCAACAAAAGAGGTCGGGTTTACTTGGATCACAGAGTTAGCCACTATATTGCTCTATGGAAAATCTATGGAAGATTTCAATATATTACACAAAAAGGGTAAATTCCAAAGGGATTCTAAGCATTTTAACCACTCACACATTCATTATTGAAACTTCTGCCAAAATCCTGTTGTCTCTCGTTTCTGTTTTCTGTCATTGCTCCTCTTACAGATTCATCGTCCGCATACTATTATTCAGCATTTATTTCACAACGAGAACCTTTTCAGTTAAACAAAATCATTGTATATTCAGGCAAAAAGTTCAAAACAAGATTGAACAGGAACTTCAAAAAATAAGATAACCGGTAAATAGATGCAGAGAAACACAACCAAGTAATCAAAACCAAACTCTATCTTCACATGCTAAAACTGCGCATTTTTCAATCAAGATTCACAACGGTCTAGTCTATCTCATACCTCCCAGTGATAATGCTCAGGGAAACAGTTAAACTCACTAACGCAAGTCACATCCATGATAATTCACTTCTGCTTGTAAAATTCAGAAGCACCCATTAGTGGCATTAAAAGAGCTTTCCTGGTTGTTGAGTTCCACTTCTCATCATTGCACAGAACTCCGAATAGTTGATCCTCCCGTCCTATTAATTTGAATCGATCAGCATAAAAAGTTACAGAGAAAAAGTTACAGATATTTGAAAATTGTAAATCACTTACATTATCTGCATCAACCTCCGAAATTATTTCTCTTATGGTGTTTTCATCGCCCATTGCGTGCTCCTTCATAGCAGCCTCTAATTCATCTCTTGTAATATATCTGTTAGTGGAAATTGACAGTGATGAACTTCATTAACTTTCCTTATATGACTGAATGATGTAAAGATATAAAACCCTACAACAGTTTGGCTCCTTAAATTTATATTACAGTCTAATCAACCTATTAATTATTAACTGCCCAGTCCCTTGACAAACAGATTGGATAAATTCCACCTTGATTAAATTCATGAATCAAAAGACTTTAGGCAAGCCATAAGCCAATGAAACTTCACTTCAACATCAATACACCACAATTTAGAAGGTTGAAAAAGAAGACAACTGAAATGTCTATAAACAAGAAAAGTATGTAAAGTTAAACATATGGTATAATCATAATGAGAAAGTTATCCAATGCTTTTCATTTCCGCCAGTTGGATCAAGTAATTGAATTTAACTTTATTTATGATAAAAATAAACTAAAATAGAAAAGAGCAGAAATCCAGTAAGAGATCAGTAAGTACACCGGAAGTACCAAACAAAAAACTCAACTCACCCACTGCTATCCTTGTCAAAATACTGAAATGCTTTGTACAGGTGCTCATCTCTTTCTAATCTTTGTCGGTGCATAGTAGCAGATATAAATTCAATGTAGTCAATCGATCCATTTCCATCCACGTCAGCCTGAAATTACACAGAAATTACAAGATTTCCAGACATTTATGAAAAAGCGAGGCATGACAGTCGGCAACAAATTGAGTTCCTGGAAAATTGATAGTTACTTACAGCATCCATGAGTTGCCTAACTTCGGCTTCTGACAGACGCGACCCAATACGTGCTAAACCTGTCTTCAGTTCTTCGTAAGTTATTGTACCACTTTTGTCAGTGTCCATATTGGTGAACATTGCTTTAAGACCTTTAATTTCTTCTTCAGATAGATTCTCTGCTATGACCTAGGGGAAATTTTCAAAAGGCATCAACATTATTAAGGAATAAGACAAGTAATGAAAGAAGGAATCCTCTGAACCCTTCAAGACAAATACCAAGAAAATCTTTGTACTTTTTTTTAATTACGTTCAAGCTTATATAATGCTTCTGTTTCTGGAAATAAACTTCAAGCCTGCGGCTGATAAACTATTTGAAATGCAAACTTTACCAATTTTTATTGGGTATAGATAGGAGCTTTTGAACATAGTTTGGTAATTACCTTCAAAGCAAGTTGCTTGAGCTTGTTCATTGCCCTGAATTGCTTCATTCTAGAGAGAACTGCACTATCTATTGGCTTGTCTGATGCTACTCCACCTACTCTGAGCCAGGGATGCTCTAACCATACAGAATATTAAACGTTAGTCAAAAAGCACAGGAGCATAAAACAAGAGCCAGTGGTAATAAGTGCAATGTAAACTGATGGAATTTTATTTTAACTGATTCACTAATGAATAACAACCACAATGCTAAATCAATTATTCTAATGCTTTATAATTATCCTTTCAGCTTCAGTTTAACTGCTACATTTGGCTTGTAGATGTTACACAGCATGTTTTACGTGGTTAAAACTTTCAGTCCAACCAAAATAGTATTTAAGAGATAAGATACCTAGAACTTCTGCAGAAGTAATTCTCTTTCTTGGGTCCTGTGTTAGCATCTTTCTAACTAGATCCTTGGCACTGTCTGATATTGATGGCCATGGTTGACTTTCAAAGTCAATTACTCCTTCCAATATGGCATCAAATATACCCCTCTCAGTTTCTGCAAATATAAAGGAGAGATATATTGATAAGAAAAGTACAGCCAAAGAGAACATTGAAGGTTTAGCAAAAATACACTGAAGTTGTATTTACCAGCCCAAAATGGAGGTACACCACTCAGTAGAATATACAGAATGACTCCTGCACTCCAAATATCTATTTCCTTTCCGTAACTACGCCGCAACACTTCAGGAGCAACATAGTAAGCACTGCCTACTATATCACGGTACACCTTTCCTGAGATGAAGATAAAACAAGTGTCGCAACACATAAGAATTTATTCACTATACTAAATCTTCAGACTATGATTTCCTTAACTGAAGCAAAACAACCACATAAGAATGAGAATTTTATGGAAGCTCCAAAAGTAATGAATTTGTTTATAAACATCATAATCTGATTAGCAACACTACATAAGGCAGGAAAATGACAGGGGCTAACTAATCTTACTACTCTTAAACCTTGGCTTTACTAACAAACATATTGTGTTCCCAGTAAACCACACAATTTTCTTTTCACAAGGTATAACATCTGCAACTAATTAGAAGAATAAAAATTTACAGCAAAGCATTACTCGTAACTTTTTAACCACTGCATTTAGAAACCCAATCAGTTCTACAAAAATGGACAGACAGATGTGCATAAATCAAACCAATAGGAACTACATGCCATTTTGGCAGTCCAAAAGATGGTTAAATAAGCAAACTGATAGCGTCTAGTTCTAAATTCTACAATTTGTAACTGAATATGGTTAACATACATGGATCATACAAATTTACAGTACTCACCTTCCTCAATGAAAACAGACAACCCGAAATCCGTTGCCTTCAACATTGCTCTTTCATCCTTGCTAGACAACAAGAAATTCTCAGGCTTGAGATCACGATGAAGCACACCCATAAAGTGACAAATGTGCACAACATTGACAATGTCACGCAAAATTGCAGCTGCTGCTCTCTCTGAATATTGGCCTTGTGCTATAATCCTATCGAAAAGCTCCCCGCCAGCACAGAGCTCCATCACTAAATGCACAGAATACCTGTCCTCATAAGACCCCTTGATTTCCACAATGTTTGGTTGTCCAGACAAATGCTGCATAATCTGAATTTCTCTCTTGATGTCATCCCTGTCATTCTTGCTCACAAGTTTGCGCTTGAGGATTGACTTGCAGGCATAAGAGTGACCAGTAGAGTTCTCAGTGCACAAGTATGTGATGCCAAATTGGCCTCTGCCCAGTTCTTTGCCAAGAGTGTAGTATTGTTTAATGTCATCAAAGGGCTTCCCGAGAATGCTATTTGGTGGTGCTGCTGCTGGTTTAATTGGAACAGGGATTGGCTGCTGTGGCTGTGGATGTGGCTGTGGCTGTGGTTGTTGTGGCAGGGGTTGGGGTTGGGGTTGGAGTCTGGATGGTGGGGGTGGGTTGTGGGTTTGTTGGGCTGAGACTTTCAGAGGCTGAACCGCTGGCTGTGGCTGCTGATAAGGTTGGTGGTGCAAAGCACCACCTGTGGCTAAGCCATACCCATTAGAACCCGGTTTTGGAGCATTTGGTTTGCTGCTACAACAACCCATTTTCTGATCAGGACTTTGATCAGGACTTTTCTGATCAGAAATGAAGAGGGTAGGACAAGAAAGATGAAATGGTGGATGAGGGCAGGCAACCCAAAAATCTGATCTTTAAGAAATTTAAGCAAAACCCAGATCAAGTTTGATAGTTATTGTGGAACCATAGTTTCGTCTACATAGAAAATTTTGAATATTGCGTGTTGACGCGGAGCTGAATTTCAGTAGTCTAAAAAGAAACAAGAAAATTTGCTTCTCTTTCCGGGAAATTTAAAGGTGTGGTACCAATTTGTCGGGATTAAACAATTTCACCAAATATAAACACAAACGGTAATGCTTTGCTTATTAAAGAAGTTATGTAAAGATTTTAATACTAAATTTTCATTCAAGGCGATTTTAATGCCAATTAGTAAAGAAGTATAATTAATAAATTTTACTTGTATTGTAACTTGATTTTGCGATAGTTTTCCTTTCGTTTTCATAAATCTTGGATTTTACCCTTAAATTAACAAATCTTAGGCCCCATCCCCATGTGGTAATTTCCATTCAAAAAGGAGATACCAAACCAAGGTCATTTCATCTGCTTTGCTAATTAACTTGGTAAGTTTATTTAGCAAATTTTCGAATACAAAACTGAAGAAAAAATATATATATATATATTATTAAATTTCCCAAGAGAAAGAGGGAAAAAAAAAATCTATTAAAGAGACAGAAAATTGCGATTTTATAAAACTTTTGATATTTTTGTATGGTCAGCGTGCCTTAAACTCTAATTCACACGAAAGTGACTGCTTAGTTATATTTAGGTTGTGCTATATTCTATCCTCTTCTCTTGCGAAAAGAGATTGCCACATAAAAAAATTATTACGCGTAGCATGTTGCACACAAGTGTTTCTCTTTCTTTTGGGCCTACATTTTTATTATTATCTTATCATCATTGATTTTCTCTGTGGAGGGCAAAGTTAGTAATTAACCACTTATTAGATGGCAGGCAATGACCAAGTCCAAAAAGAAAATCATAATTTAGATTGGAATTTGGACCCATAAAGAAGAAGGAGAAGAAGAAGATCATGATTTATTGATAGGCTAGAAGATTATAATTGTTGAGCTTGAATCTATGAAAAATAACAGTTAAAACTTATATGATTTCACATTTCCATTATTATTTTCATTGCTTGAAATGGAATTATTTTAGGAAGCAAGTTAGCAAAAATGTGATTATAATTAGTTTCTTCAAGCATATGCAATTATGCTCCTTATTTTTTAGTTAAAATTTAGCTAAAACACACACAAAAGCTATTTTAGTAGCTCTCTATACAATTTGAACTCCAATCATACTCCTTAGTTTTGGAGTCATAAATACTATAATTATTTTTTAATTCAATAATATTGATCAATCTCTATAAAAATTAATATTAAAAAATAATTAGCATTAGTTTAAAGTTTAAATATGCATAAAATAAAACAACATTAAATTATAAGGAACTATCGTAGTCTTCTTGTATTTAGGAAGTGGATATGGAGCATGTTGGAGTTGTATTTTTCTAATTTTTCCCTAAAATTTATATATATTAAAAATTTAGAAAGCTCGTTACGGATGCTCTTCGTCCCATCACTTTCTCTCATTTATTATTTTATTACCCCATCTCTGTATGTTCATTTCTGTCGTGCTGTTTTAATTTCATTTAATCTCCACCCAAAAAAAAAAGATCATCCCAAGTGATTAACATTTCAAATTTATTTATCCTCGTGTGTGCCAGCTAGCCATCCATTGATTCCACGACAAAAAAAGAAATCAAAAAAATAAAAATCGTGTGGATTCATTTTATGTAGCCGTACACGTGTTGAAATAAAAACCAAACCAAACCCGGGTGTTTCACGTGACCATGAGACCGACCTCTAGACATAAAGCTTAATGATGGGAGCTGCTCTCCTCCTGGTTTAGGTAGGTTTGTGCATATACGACGTAGAGGAACTGGACCACCACACATGTAGAGATTACGTTCCGTGATACACTTTGCAGCCCAAAATCTGATTCTGGCTCCTCGTAGGGTATAGTTGGAGATTGAACGGGAATTTTGCTATGGTCAAAACCGAAGACGTTCCCTAAAGCACTATTCTCTTGTACTCTTGGTGTCAACAATTGAGATGCAGTCGGTCTGTCTGTCACCTACTAGTCCTACCATTCCATTTTCTCACCGTCACAAGTGATGGCGATGGGCTTCTACATCCCCTCTACGTAATCCTCCCATCCCAGCAAGTGCACATTGCATATCCTCACATCAACTCGTACCCAATGTCAATCCCACTCTGCATTGGGCTTCGGTTTGTGGTTCAAGTTGGATTTCTCTTTTCAATAAAAGCCCATACAATGTAGAGAGAGAGAGAGAGAGAGAGAGTTTTCCCCAGTAATTGTTTGAATAATAGAAGAGTGTGGATGTTTTTTTTCAAGTAAAGAACAAAGGCAGGCGGGGAATAAATGCCGGAAGAGTCAGAATTAGAAAATATGGACAAAAAATGAGGAGGCCCACCCACTCCCAGGAGCGAGCAAAACCAGATGCTTTTAGTGGAAGCTGATAGATAGTGGGACGGAAGGGCAGGACAGGTTGACAAGGTCCAAGCCAACCAAAATGCAATATTTACTGTGCGGAGCGGATTACAAATTTATAAGGAATGATGCAGCAAGAGGTTTATAGCTTAAATACCTAATAATAATAATAAAGTAGTTACTCTTACACTCGAGATATTGTAGTTCAAATAAATAAAGTAGTTATTCTTATACTCGAGATATTGTGAATCTACTTGTCATGATATCGCTTGTGTAATTTTAATTTATTTTTTATAATAAAAAATTGGATGGATGGCATTGTCAAGTTGAAGCATATATAAGTGTATGTATATATATGGGCTAAAACTTTTTCAAAAAAAGGACGCAACAACTTTTTATTGCCTCTCTCACTCATATGAACTCACAACTCACAGGCTACGAGAGCCATTGGTTTCACCTTTGTCTTTGTGCTATGAAATCAACACTAACTGACTAGACTTTGGAAATTTGGACTTAACACTAAGCTTTGGATATCAGGGGCCCCCGCACCTTACGCTCAATGCTCATCATCATCATCATCAAACTCTTATTTTCTCTCTTTTTAGATTCCATGCTTTCTTCGTGCAATTGACACGACTTTGAAAATATTAGGTGGATGAAATAAAACCACATGTCATTTGAGATATTTAGTTATATATTCATTCTTAATATTGGTGTTATGGATAAATACTATATCATTTAATTCTTATAAATAAATTTTTAAAAAACCCCTATTATTACCAGCTGGTCTATTTTCAAGTTTACTTAATATACTAATTTACCCTTTTATTTTTGTTTTGGGTTTGGGTGGGTTTTTTTTTTTTTTTTTTTTTTTTTTTTTTTTTTTTTAGGTTGGATTTTGAGGTTTTATTATATAATCAATAGCAGTTTTGCAAATTATAAGATATTCAAAGCCTCTTTGTTATGTTGTAAATGGGCTTTGGGTGTGTTTTTAGAGTCCATTTCATGTATGTTTTTTTAAAATAATAATAATAATTTGGGCTCCTATATTTGACATAATAGTGAAACTCTCTAATTTGATTATCAAGTTATTATTAATTGTTACTGGGGAAGACATGATCGTAGTCAATTTTTTTAGAAAGGGTAAATAAGATAGCTACTCAATTATCCATATATATATATATATATGCGCGTGTGTGTGTAAGTATTGAGACACTTATCAACTAATACTAATATAGTTTGGTTAAATGATAGGTTTCCGTTATAGTTGAAACTAAGATTGGCTTGTGAGGTTTGAGAGATGTTAATTATCAAGTGGAGATGGTATGAATTTTGATCACATTTCAAGTCACTAATATTTGATTGTTCTAGACTTTTAGTATCTATTAATTCCACAAATTTTAAACAGTTTGGTGGAGAAACTCCATAGGTATATAATAGTTATATTAGGTAGTTAGGCCATTAGTGTGAGACTATATGAAAAAAAAAATGAAAAAAAGGGTTATCATGTTAAGTGATATTATTAATTTACGTGTTATTATATGTGTAGATGATATTGTTGATTTTTGTTGACTTAGCATATTAATATAAATAAACATACATAATTGTAGCGTGATAACACAAATTTTTAATTTTTAATTTTTTTCAAGAAATAAGATGGTAAACTACAAGATTGCACTCAATGACATTCCATGTTCAGTTTTTGATTAAATTGCCACGTATCCTCAAATTTTATTTAACTCAAAGAATGACATTTAAAAAAGGCATCTAAATCATATTGCTGAAAATGCCTACATAGTTTATCAAGAATAATAAGAGCTAGAAAATTTCATAAAACAATACTCTTAAAAGTTCACATGCGAGACACGATCTCATTAAAGTAATTGTTCTCCCGAGTAAAATTCTGAGTTCAAATTCTAGCATCCCTATAACATGTGTTAATTTAATATTTAAAAAAAAAGAAATCACAGGAGGCTGTACCTGAAGCTCATAAATTACCAAATTATATTACCAACTAAGACAAATTGATTTCCAAAATTCAACCCACGACAGAAAAAGACCAAAGAAGGACCTCAATCCAAGACCAAAGAAGGACCTCAATCCAATCCCCAATTCAGAATTCAAATGTTTGGGCAAATTGGGCTCACTCGCAACCGAGGCTATTAACTCAGCTGAATCATTGCCCAGTGCAAAAATACCATTTCACAACAATCAGATTAAAATCTCCACTACCACGTCTTCCCAAATCCAATCATTTTTAACAATAAAACTCCCTTTCTAATCCTAACACTAATCACAATTAACCATCAAACCCGGTCCGGCTCCACACCGCGTCCCTTACCCGCCGCATGTCCCGGCCCTTCAGGGTCCGCCCGACGCCTTCGAAAACTGACGTCGCGCCACGCGTGTACTCACGCGCTAGGTACTCGTGTGGCGGGATCATCTCCGAGTCATTCCCATCCAACTCCTCGTCCAACTCGTACAGGGAGTCCACCGAGTCGACCCGGAGAATCTTGCTCCAGTCCGGCACGTTCACGGGAGCTGACGTGGCCATGTGGTGCGCACGTGGGGACGCCACGCTGTCGTGTCCGCGGAACTGGTGCACGATCCTAGGTGATGACGCCGTTTTTCCGGAATCGTCAAAAGCCAATGACAGGCCACCCACGTTGCCATCTTCCCTTGCAATTCGGCGGCTCCTCCTCGACGAGACGCCCCCGTTTGTCTCAGCGGAGGCGCGTGGGCTCCAATCTCCGTGCGAATTTTCGATTTCGGGGTCTTCCCTTTCGTCCACGGTGTTCACCATCGACCAGACGTCGTCTTCGCCGAGCTCCGGCGAGTCATGAGCGTGGCTGTAGCTGCTGTAGCTTCCGAGCAACCGTTCGCTGCGGCTCTGCGTCAGTTTCCGGCCCTTCGCCATATGTCATAATCAATCAGATTCCCACGACGGAATCGATAATTCCCGGCGACCCAATTGAGGAAAGGAAAAAACCCACGAAACCCAATTTCACAGCTCCATTGAAATTATTTATTATATTGGCTTACGCATAAGCTGGGCTTTGGAGGGCTGAGCAAGTGTATATATAGAGAGAGCATTTCCATTTGGCAAGGCCCCCCCACAAGCGAACCCAATAATTCATTTCATTTGCATTTGAGTCTCATTTTGTCCGCATTTCCTTATGAGCTCTCTCTCTAACAAGATGCATGATGACATTAAAAGGACGCCACAAGTTCACAAAACTGTAAAAAATAGTGAAATTCCAATAGAGTCATTCATCCATTACACGCGCTCCCATCAACACGTGTGGACCACTTGCCTATCTAGAGTGAACCTTTTGTTTTTTGACGAAATACTTGCCGGTGAAACTGAAAATAAATTTTCTTATCTTGATACAAAATAGCACGAGGAAAGCTAATGTGCACGTGCACCTCGAGAAATAATTGTATGGTATTAAAATATAATAATGTAGTATAATTTGTGCATATATTAATGTATAGTATTATAAAATATCAATTTTGTTCATAACAAGAGAACGAGTTATACCACGTAATCATACTCATCCACTATACTATAATTACTCGTGCACCTCCTAAAAGCATCAAATAATAATGAAGGAAAAAAAACACTCAGCAATGGGGATTGTTAGGAACGCGCTCTTATGTAAAAATACAAAGTTTCCATCCACCACGTCGGTATTCCCCTCTTCGCAAAACGGGGCCCTAACGCCAAACCCGTCTTGTTTGACTACGTCAAATGACAAATGCATATAATAATCCACGTGGGTACGTCCTCCTCTGAAAACCCACCACGTGGGTGCTTCCAAAGCTGCGGGTCCCGCTTCAAGGGTCTCAGTCCATGCCAAGTGGATGAACAGTGATCCGCTAAATAATTTGATGAAGGAAGAATAAAAGGTCTGGGATGTTGTGGGGAGGGGGTGGCTAATGATGGTGACTAGAAAATTTAGCCTCTGCATAATTGATGGTTTAGGAGGTAATCAGTTTGGGTTTGTGGTTAAAATAATCCCCACTTGGGATAGAAAGGCAAAGTCTTGTGAAGGCCACATTAGACGGTCCAAAATGACAATAGTGGGGTGGGGGCCAACAAGGACTTGTCGTTTGTGAAGTAAACAAGTGAAGCTTTATCACACTATTCATTTTCCAGGATTTCACAATTTCCACAATCCAATGGCCCAAATTCAATGGATTAAGCTCCATATAGTAATGGAGTTTTATGCTTGAATTGCTTACTGGACCCAATTTGACGGAAGGATTTGTACTTATGTGCTTTAGATTATAAGAATTAATGGGATTCTTGAAGCAGCTGACCATATAGTACTCTTAAAACTCATTATCATATATGATTGTGTGTGGCACACTACAATAGTACAATGAACAATTTGATATGAATATGTCAAAATTTTCATTATCACTATACTATATGTATGCATATTTTAGTACATATTTATTATTCTCGTAAACAATTTTGAGTAACGCTAATAGTTTGTGTATCGATGGACGGTGTCAATTGTTGATCGGCTTAAGTTATATTCTGGATGAATGATTGACGTATGTAACAAATGAATGCATAGTTAGCATTAAGTTACATAATGTACAGATAGCAGACAATCGATGATTGACGTATGTTATATAATGAATGCACAGTTGCAATTGTTGATCGGCTTAAATTCTACAATAGATGGACGATCAAGCACGTTGATTGACGTATGCTACATAATAGATGCATAGTTGAAAATTGTTGACTGACGTATATTACACAATTAACTTTCTATATTGACTCATCTCATGCTAACACCATCCACCATAACTGCAAGTTGCAGTTGTTATCCAGTTGGGATTCTAAGAACCTTGGAGGATAATAAAAAGATAGGGTTGATATTTCATGTTTCTCTCAAGAGAGGACCCCTCTTCCTTTCGCGAGGTACCATTGAGGACCCCTCACCCTTGTACTGGCCTCATTGTGTGGGATTCTGTGGGGGGACCTGGGCTTTCAATGACCAAACATTGGCTGGGACCCGCTAGCCATGGGCCCATGGATGATAGGTTCACATTCTAGAGGTGCACCCTGACCCCCAAGTTACCTAACTGTGTCTTGTGATGGACCAATCAATATTGCAATCAAAGTATCCTATGCTATCGCTTGTTATGTATGTCAGCTCCACCAGATCAAAACTAGAAAATGATCCAACGGTTAATACTGAATCACTAATTGATGCCCGGAGTAATTTTGAAGTGTGGCGCGGTGATTGTGTGCATGTGCCGCTGGAGTACTATGCTGTGTATCTGCAAAATCAACGACGGCAATAAAAGTGGAATATTTTACAAGTACTTGCATGGACCCCACTCCCATCACCACTGTCTTTTTTTAAAAAATAATTATTATATCAAGCTCCATATTACGTCATGCGTTGCAACAAATTTTTGACAATGAACCATCTTCGATTGATTGCGAAAAGCAATTATTTTTTTGGATACAAGCGGCATTAGAGATTGGAGACTCGAATTTAGAACTTCGAATGTAAGAATAAATGTTTATAATCATTTGAGCTTCAAGTCCCATGCAAATTAGTGCGTTGATAATGCGTGTGTGCAAATTCTGTAGAATAAGAATCCTACCTGCTACTTAATTACAGAAATAAAATAAAATAAAATTTAAAAACCCTATGCTAAGCTCAGTGTTTAGCATATGATTTGATGGTGGCAAGATGGGTACTTTATAAAATTCAATTTGGGATTAAAATGTATGGATCCAGAGAATCACAAGGCTGTGGAATGAATGATTGTTCTAGGGTGAATCATGGGATATTATTTTATTACGAATATGTCAAGAAAGTCACCCCTTTATTTTAACATGAGATTCTTGTATATTGTACTAACATAAAATTATATATAAAAGGAGAAGTATTATCAGAGAGTTTTGTTGGAGGTTTTGTCGGGTAGCAGTGGCTTTGTGTTGTAGGTACATGTTCTTCTTGCACCAGATACTATGTAATATTTTGTAGTTGCAGCAAACACCTCTGTCTGTGCAGAAAAATTTACTTATAACAGGGATAACACTGTTTTACAATCTCTAATTAATAACACAATGATATGTGAAAAAATTATCTCACGAGTCATTGCGTTATTGGGCGAGGATAACAAAAAGTGTTATCTATGTTGCATGAAAGTCTTTCTCCTGTCTGTGGAGACTCCAATTAAAATTATCAAATTTTAATTTTAATTTTAATTTACCCTTTTCTTGATTTGATTCTTTTCTGAAGACACCAAATTTGATCGTCCCTTTCTGTTTTGTTGCAGGATTTTCATCATCTGCACTGCACATGAGGAGCTGTAAAGCTAAGAAGAGCGCAATTTGTGTGACCCTTTTATACAAATTTTTTGCTTTATCTTGTCCTGTTTGGTTTTGTTGACTAGCATCCACCAATCTTTGTGACGTTCTGCAACTTGGCGCTCCAGTTTGAGTAACAAGTTGCATGAATTACCAAAAACCCAACTATATAGGTCCTATAGGTCTGCAATTTTTGCAGCAACATCCTAGCATGAATTATTTTTACAATAATTAATCATTTGATGACATTTTCAACTGGGTTGTAAAATTTTAGAGGGATTCCAAAAAATATAAAAAAAATATAAAAAAAATCTTTATGAAATGGACTTTGAAAATACACCCAAAATTCATTTACAACATAACAAAGATGCTTCGAATTTCCTATAAATTACAACATTGTCATCGATTTCTTAAAATAAGCCCAACTACAAAATCTCATAAATAAATATAAAAAACCCAAAACACTTAACAGGGCATCAAAGTAATTTAATAATCAAAATTAAATTCAACAGGGTCATCATTTTTTGGTTTGTTTATAGAAATTAAATGGTGTAGGATTAATCTGTATCACTAGTACTACGAATGCGTATATAACTAAATATCTAAACAAATTAATTAGGGTAAGAAGATCATTATTTTGCAAAATTATCGAGGCCAAGTTTGGTATGGAAGATTGAATATCAAATATCTGTGTCACGACCTTTTCAACCAGATGGAGATGGAGGGAGGAAGGCAAATAGAGGTCACAATCAACCCTTTTTCAAGAAGGAGCTCACCACAAAAAAAGAAAAAAAAATCAATGCCTAATATTTCTTGTTAACATTATTGTTTGGTTCGCAGCAGCAAGCTCAGCTCAGGTGGCAGGCCTTTTTTTCTCTATCCTTATGCATCAACGATTAGAAAGGACCGATCGTTTTCTCTGGTTTGAGTTGTTACAATCATGTTGGGTCGGCCATGGCTTCTCTGTCATGTGCAGGTCTAAATCTAATTCCCTTGAGGATTTTTTTTTTCCCACAGTAAGAGGAATTATTGAACTTGAAATGATGCAATTAATCTGTTTGATATATAAATTTACTCTCTATTTTTTTTTCCCCATTTTCATGCTATTATCACCACAATCTCAACAACCAGATTGATGCCAGTGCCATGCCACTTCCCCCATGAAAGAGCCGACCACCAATATAGCAATCTTGATAAAAATAATCAATCAATCTACGACCAAATCGCATTAGTTTATTACCAAACCACCTATTAGTATATTTTTTTCTCTTTGGTTGCAGTTGCAGATTCCATTTAGTATTTTTTTTTCTGTCAATAATAGTTTCCTGATTGAAAATAATTAGGAAGAATCTTAGCCTTTTTTTAATTCAAAACCTGAAAGGGGTCCCCTCAACAAAAATGATTTCAATCACCTTGATGCAATATCTAAACCTTTGTTTCATCAGATTCAGAGATCATAACAGCCTTTAAATGGGGTTTCAAAACTATATACCATGATCATCAAAACTTACACAGAGCCAACTAAAAATGAACGGTTCGAATCATGAGATGATATTGTGGGTTGAGCGTGCATG